GGTCTTCGAGTTCCCAGAACTCCATTCCTGGGCATGATTTTGAATGCCCGGAGCCAACTGTAGGCCACTTCGTGTTTTTCGAGTTCCCAGAACTCCATTCCCGGGCCACATTTTGAATGCTGAGGCAGGCTGAGGCTGAGGCTGAGGCAGGCTGAGGCTGAGGCAGGCTGAGGCTGAGGCTGAGGCTGATGCAGGCTGAGGCTGAGGCAGCCTGAGGCTGAGGCCGAGGCTGAAGGCAGACTGAGGCTGAGGCTGAGGCTGAGGCTGAGGCTGAGGCTGAGGCTGAGGCAGGCTGAGGCTGAGGCTGAGGCAGGCTGAGGCTGAGGCTGTGTCTGTGACTGCCGTTGCCACTGCGACTGTCATCGCGAATGCGACTACGACTGCGAGAACAGCACAATTCTACAACTGGATTCTCATCTGAATCTTAAGGGGAATGCTTCCAGATATGCTCCTACACATCGCTGTTAGGTTGCTTTGCCGGGATAATAGTTGACGCATGTGCAAAATCACCAGATTCCAGCACGATCGATGCACGCGGGAATGACAATGCCAGACGCCCACGCCGACGCGGACAGGAGTGAAAGGCAGCTCCAAGGCAGCAGCCCGCGGCGGGCGTGGATCCTGAGCAGCGAATGCCGAAATGTTATGTATTCATTTATGTTTGTCTCTATTCATGCATCTATGTATGCATTCATTTACTTGTTTGTTGATTGGTTTGTTACCTAACAGCTTTTGCTGATAGGTTTCTAGTGGTCTCAAAAGAGAGCATCATGACTCCTCAGGGGGGTCTGGGCGGGACCCGGAACGGCTGCCGCCGACTGCCGCCGAAGCCGAAATCGCTTGGGACATCCTCGCAAAATCGCTCTTGGTGCTCCCAGAACTCCATTCCCGGGCCACATTTTGGATGCCCGGAGCCAACTGTAGGCCACTTCGTGCTCTTCGACTTCCCAGAACTCCATTCCCGGGCCACATTTTGGATGCCCGGAGCCAACTGTAGGCCACTTCGTGCTCTTCGATTTCCCAGAACTCCATTCCCGGGCCACATTTTGGATGCCCGGAGCCAACTGTAGGCCACTTCGTGCTCTTCAAGTTCCCAGAACTCCATTCCTGGGCATGATTTTGAATGCCCGGAGCCAACTGTAGGCCACTTCGTGTTCTTCTAGTTCCCAGAACTCCATTCCTGGGCCACATTTTGAATGCTGAGGCAGGCTGATGCTGCGGCCGAGGCAGGCTGAGGCTGAGGCAGGCTGAGGCTGAGGCCGAGGCTGAAGGCAGACTGAGGCTGAGGCTGAAGCAGACTGAGGCTGAGGCTGAGGCAGGCTGAGGCTGAGGCTGAAGCAGGCTGATGCTGAGGCAGGCTGAGGCTGAGGCTGAGGCTGATGCAGGCTGAGGCTGAGGCAGGCTGAGGCTGAGGCCGAGGCTGAAGGCAGACTGAGGCTGAGGCTGAAGCAGGCTGAGGCTGAGGCTGAGGCAGGCTGAGGCTGAGGCAGGCTGAGGCTGAGGCTGAGGCAGGCTGAGGCTGAGGCTGTGACTGCGACTGCCGTTGCCGCTGCGACTGTCATCGCGAATGCGACTACGACTGCGAGAACAGCAGAATTCTACAACTGGATTTTCATCTGAAGCTTAAGGGGAATGCTTTCAGATATGCTTCTACACATCGCTGTTAGGTTGGTTTGCCGGGATAATTTCTTTGTTCATTCACTTACCCATTATTATGTATTTAGGTAAATGTTAAACAACTTTGGCCTATATACATATATACGCCACAGTGCCTCGAGGCACGAAGTGGAGTTACCCCCAAGCTCTCATGTGTCCTCTGTTCCCTGTACTCAGTACTCTGTGACTATAAGATTCTAAGGGCCGGGCCCCCACATTCTCAAAGTTCCTTGGCGCTCCCGCGCGTCCTTGGGCTGCCCCGCGTGACTTTTCCAGATGCCAGAGGACCCTAAGACGGGCCAAGAGGGCTCCAGAAAGCGCCCAAGAGGGTCTAATAGGCCTCCAAGACAGCCCAAGAACGCTCCAAGACGCCCAAAAATGGCCCCAAGACGGCCCAAGAGGGCCCCAAAGAAGCCCCAAGAGCGGTCCAAGAGGACCCCAGGAGGGCCCAAAGAGGCACAACTCATAGATTTTCCTTGTGGTTTTTAAACTGTTTTTCGCGTTCTCGCGTTTTCGGGCTTCCGACGCTTCAAGATGGCCCCCAAAGGCTCCCAAGACCGCCCCAAGACGGCCCAAAAGAGGTCCCCAGGAAGGCCCCATGACGGTCTAAGAGGGCCCCAAAACGGCCCAAGAGGCGCCCAAGAAAACCCCAAGACGGCCCCCAGAGGGGTCCAAGAGGGGGAACACGAACCGACAATTCGAGCCTTCCGCCCCAAGAGGCCCCCAGCAGGCCCCAAGAGGCCCCAGAGCCCAAGAGGCTCCATAGAGGCCCAAAAAGCAGCCCCAAGAGGCCCCCCAACGGCCCCCAAGAGGCCTTAAAACTGCTTCCAACAGGCCGATAGCCAAACGAACCTCCAAGAGGCCTCTAACCCACGACCCAGCGACTAAATATAAACATTACCCTGGCGACGTACCCAACCATTGCGCAATGCGGGGCATGAGTAGCTTGGGCGACTTCATGAAAGGGGTGTGATGACGAGACATGGACGTATGTATTTCTGCGATCAGCATCTGGGAGGTCCAATTTGAGACCGCCGCGGAGCCTCACAATGCTGCCCCCCTGGCAGGCCTCGAAAGTGGCGACAGTTTCACAGATCGCAGCCCACCAGGGATGGCGAGGTGTAATTTGAATCTGCGTAGCACGTCACTGTGCTGGACCCCCCAGCAGGCCTCAAAAGTGGCGACAATTTGACAGATCGCAGCCCCCCAGGGATGGCGAGGTCTAATTTGAATTTGCGTAGGACGTCACTATGCTGGACCCCCCAGCAAGCCTCGAAAGTGGCGACAATTTCAAAGATCGCAGCCCCCCCAGGGATGGCGAGGTCAAATCTGAATCTACGTAAGACGTCACTATGCTGGACCCCCCGGCATTCTTCGAAAGTGGCGACTGTTTCACAGATCGCACCCCCCCAGGGATGGCGAGGTCCCGTTTGAATCTGCGTAGGGCATCACTGTGCTGGACCTCCTAGGGCCTCGAAAGTGGCGCCAGTTTCACACATCAGCCCCCCAGGGATGGCGAGGTCACATTTGAATCTGCGTAGGACGTCACTGTGCTGGACTCCCCACCAGGCCTCGAAAGTGGCGACGGTTTCACAGATCGCAGCCCCCCAAGGATAGCGAGGTCCCGATTGAATCTGCGTAGCACGTCTCTGTGCTGGACCCCCCAGCAGCCCTCGAAAGTGGCGACAATTTTACAGATCGCAGCCCCCCAGGGATGGCGAGGTCCCGTTTGAATCTGCGTAGGACGTCACTGTGCTGGACCTCTCTCGAAAGTGGCGACAATTTCACAGATCGCAGCCCCCCAGGGATGGCGAGGTCCCGTCTGAATCTGAGTAGGACGTCACTGTGCTTGACCCCCCAGCAGGCCTCAAAAGTGGCGACAATTTCACAGATCGCAGCCCCCCAGAGATGGCGAGGTCCCGTTTGAATCTGAGTAGGACGTCACTATGCTGGACCCCCCAGCAAGCCTCGAAAGTGGCGACAATTTCACAGATCGCAGCCCCCCCAGGGATGGCGAGGTCACATTTGAGTCTGCGTCGGACGTCACTGTGCTGGACCCCCCAGCAGCCCTCGTAAGTGGCGCCAATTTCTTGGATCGCAGCCCCCCAGGGATGGCGAGGTCCCGTTTGAATCTGCGTAGGACGTCACTGTGCTGGACCCCCCAGCAGCCCTCGAAAGTGGCGACGGTTTCACAGATCGCAGCCCCTCAGGGATGGCGAGGTCCCGTTTGAATCTGCGTAGGACGTCACTGTGCTGGACCCCCCAGCAGCCCTCGTAAGTGGCGACGGTTTCACAGATCGCAGCCCCCCCAGGGATGGCGAGGTCCCATTTGAATCTGCGTAGGACGTCACTGTGCTGGACCCCCCAGCAGCCCTCGAAAGTGGCGACGGTTTCACAGATCGCAGCCCCTCAGGGATGAATCTGCGTAGGACGTCACTGTGCTGGACCCCCCAGTAGCCTTCGAAAGTGGCGACAGTTTCACAGATTGCAGCCCCCCAGGGATGGCGAGGTCCCATTTGAATCTGAGTAGGACGTCACTGTGCTGGACCCCCCGGCAGCCTCCGAAAGTGGTGACAGTTCACAGATCGCAGCCTCGCCCCCTCCCCCCCCGCCGAGGCAAGACAGGAGGAGGCAGGAGGGAGGCGGGAGGACGCGACCACAGTCCTCTATGCAAAGCGAATGCGCAACCAAGGAGGGCTGGGAGTTAAGAAGACACAGCAACGGAGGTAGCGGTCCATTTGGTGGCTTGTGGGGTCCCTGGCGAAACCCATGGCACAACATATGGCGCAATGGTGCACCCACTCCGGCAACGGACGGCCTCCGGCGGGATGCCCGGCGCATCATATGGCGCAAGACGTATGGCGCAATGGTGCATCCACTGAGTCCTCGGACGATTTCGCGGATTGTGCGGGATGCCTGGCGCAACCTATGGCGCAACATCTGGCGCGACGTCTGGCGCGCTGGTATACCCACTGAGACCACGGACGATTTCGTGGATTGCGGGGTGCCCGGCGCAACCTGCTGCGCAATGGCGCACCCACTGAGGCAACGGACGATCTGGTGGCATGCGGAGGGCCTGGCGCAAGCATTGGCGCAACCTGAAGCAAGCGGTTTTCAGCATCGACCGAACTCCTGTGCACCCCGAGCCCCAATCCGTCCGTCGGTGGAGACTAGCGCCCCCCGGGGGCCCTCCGCGTCCAGGGAGGGAATCGCATCGGAAGACGAGCGCGAGGACGGCTGCCCGCCCAACGCTGGCCGACGCGCGCGCGACCCGAGGCGGGGTCGCGCGAGCGGAGCCCCCCTCACTCGGATCGGCACAGGGAAGGGCCCGCCACCTCCCCAGCCGGTCCAGGAGCTTGCATCAGCACCACCGTGGGCTTCAGCGGCGCCACGGACTCGATCAGGTGATCGGCGCCCCAGCCTCCCCTCTTCTTGCCCGCGGCCGCCGCCTGCATCCCTCTCCCCCTCGCAGCAGACGCCGCCCAACCCATGAGCGCGCAGTCGACGGAAACCACGGCTGCGTGCTTGGCTGCATCGGAAAGCTCGGCCATGCAATCTCGCGCCCTCGCACCATAGGAGCCGCGATCATTCTCGCGCTCTCGCCCCACCCCCGTGGACAGTGGCAAGCGTCTGGTCCACGCCGCGGAGCGCAGGTTATGCTCCCGCCCCTGCGGGCGACCCAGGCGAGGTTCGCTCCAAAACCGCTCAAAACCAGTCCCTGGGCACATGCCCGGGCCTACCCTGGCCAATTTCCCGAGCCGCGTCCACCCGCGGCCGCGGAGGCTCGTCAACGAAGCGGTGAACTCTGAGCACAAGGCACTTGCTCCCCTGGGTGCCCTCTCCGACCATTTCGGCGGCCGGTAGGGCCAGGGTCGCCCGCGCTTCAGGACCCGAGTGCCGTGGCCTGATTCCCCATTCTGGATGATCTGGCGTATCTGGCAACAAGAGGGAGACGCCCCACGTACCCGTTCCAAAGACATCCGTGGAGAACTGAAGACGGACTAGTGCATCCTTCTTCTGCGCAAATGTAGTGAGGCTCGATGCTCCGCCTCTGCTCTGCCCCGTGACCCTTGATTGTACATCTGCTCATGACTACTCCAGATTTCGTAATAAAAAGGAGGGGGTCTGGATCCTCCAAGACAAGCCATTTCAGACCCCCCCCCGTGGGAGAACCCTCCAAAACATCGTCCCCAGACCCCCCAGGCCCTCCAAGATAGCTTGGAAGAGACCCCCCCCGAAATGAGACCCCCCTCCCTTTATTACGAAATCTGGAGTACCAACTGAAGAGACGGGCACAGGACTCGTTCTCCAAAGGGAAAAGCACTTGTTTTTCATCCATGGTTGCTTCATTCTCTTGCCAGCGCGCAGTAAGCCTCTGGATGCCAAGGCGAGTTCGACCTCGCGAGAGCCGATGGCAACACAGGGGCTCCAACGGGGTGATCGCCAATCCTTTCATGAACCTGGCAGGAAGCTGGAGCATACACATGGCTGGATCTGCATGTGGAGCATCTGGAGGCCGCTCACTGGAGACAAATGCGGCAGCCTGGCGTACACGGACACTTTTTTGGTCGGCGGGGCGAGAGCGAACCTCTTCCGCTAAAAGCTAGGCGGGCTACGCACAGCTTTGATTAGGGAGACAGGGCACATGAGGGCGGGGCCTCGATGGCGTACACGGACACAGAAGGGCCGAACGATGGACAACCATCTGGCCGCATGCGTATCCAACTCTCTTCCAGGCCGGCTGCGCCACATGTATCCAGCTTCCTGTTGCAGGCGCTGACCCCCCTCTGCCCCCAGACACCGCATCGCTTGGCAAAGGCTTGCTCACCCCGACTGCCCTCGCTGCGGCACTGACGCTGCCTCGCCAACTCCCACCCCTGCGCGGCCCAAATTGAGATGAGGACGGTCGGCTCCCTCCCTGTGAGCTAGAATTAATACCACGGACCCCGTGCGACGCGCGCGAGCATGGCAGCCAGGGCAAGCCGGGCAGCCCAAGAAACTTGTGCCAGAAAAGTATCGTCGTCTTCGTCGTCTTTTCTCATCCTTGACCGCGTACAGCGCGACACCTGTGCCGAAACCGCGGCTGATCTCTGGCACCAATTTGCTTGCAGCGGCCTGGAACGCGGCTATAGCATCCGGGCGGAGGTCGCTCGAGGCTTCAGCGAGACGGCAGCGGACAAACGACCGTTGCCAACAAGCGCATTAGATCCTCGCCGCCCCCTGTTGGCTTGCCACACGGGTGCACTGCGTGCTGGATGTCCGAAAAAGGTTTGGTTCTTTTTAAGGCTCCCCCTGGGGCTTCGGCACAGCGAGGCGATCACCCGGAAGACCTGGTCGCCAAGGTTTTTTGATCCAAATTGTTCCAAGATGGCCTCCCAGACGGCCAAGATGGCCTCCAAGTTCGCCCAAGATGGTCCAAGATGGCCTCCTAGACGGCCCAAGAGTGTCCGAGATGCCTCCAGTCCGCCCAAGAAGCCTCCACGACGGCCCAAGACGGCCCCAGAGGCCCCCAAGAGGCTTCCAAGACGGCCCAGAGGCCTCCAAGAGGTCCTCCAGGAGGGCCGGCAGTGGTCAAATCATTGATTGTCCACAAAAAGTTTTTGAAGGATTTTGGCATTTGCTTCTTTTTCGGTCTTCCGACGGCCCAAGACGGCCCAAGAGGCCCCTAAGATCGCCCCAAGGTGGCCGCAAAGGTCTCCCAGATGGCCCCAGGATGGCCCAAGAGCCCTAAACCACAGACATACAGCGGGATGGATTGCGAACCGCCTTGCTCTTTCCACGACTTCCCTCTTCCGTCGCTGGAAACATTATGAGACTGCACGTCCATCTTGCTGATCTGCGGCCGAGCGCCGTACGAGACCAGGGGCGACAGACACCAAGCACGAAGAAACCAGAACGGTCTCGGTGGCGCGCATGGGCATGCCATCGGCGAAATACAAATGTTGCTGCGAAGAGGGACGCGACGGAAGAACTGGTGATCGAAAACTTGAACCAACAATTGCTACATGATGTAGGGCAACACGGATCAATCGGAAGCCAACTTGATAATTGCAATTTCAATGCCATGTAACTTGGGAACAAGATGCTTTATTGAGATTGTGCCCCTCGCTGTTGTTGTGCATTCCTTCCCTCTCTTCTTTACTTTCGGAACATCACATAACATTCCCTTCCTGCCAACAAAAATGAAGACTGTCATCGATCACCCGCAGCATCGTAATATCACGCACTATACTCTGGACGCGCCGTCAGATCAGTTATTCGCCAAACGCAAGCAAAACTTTGTGCGCTGAGGAGTCGCACAGTCATGCGAAACGCATCTGAAACAATACCTCCACTTTGTTCTGCGTGCGTCCGTATCCTTCAGTATGTTCAGAGCCACCGCGCAACTCATATTCTGTCGTCGGCATTCACACCCATCCTCACACTCGACATGCCTCCGGTGGTCCAAACAATACCGACGCGCCTGCCCTGTAGATGACGCGTGCACTCTAGCGAAGTGCTTTAACTTGGATTTAGCAGCTGCCTCTTGCGTTCTGGGCTTCGGCTGGGTTGGCCTTGCATCTCGAACTCAACACTCAAGACTTTACTCGCTCTTCGTCTGCGGTGGCTTGGCCACTCGCTCCCCCTCGTTCGCCTACTGATGCTCACCGTTGTTCTCGTCCTCTTCCTCCTCCTCCTCCTCCTGCTGCGCGCAATCGGACACCCACGGTGCGCAAATTCAAGCGGTCAGCCCACTTGGAGCAGAGGAGGAGGAGGAGGAGGAGGAGGAGGAGGAGGAGGAGGAGGAGGAGGAGGAGGAGAAGGAGGAGGAGGAGGAGGAGGAGGAGGAGGAAGAGGGAGGAGGAGCAGGAGGAGGAGGAAGAGGGAGGAAGAGCAGGAGGAGGAGGAGGAGGAGGCGAGCGCCCCACCTCCGCCCTTCGAGCAGAGGAGGCGGGGGAGGTGGCCTTTCGGTGGGCGGGCGGGGCACGCGGCGCGACTCAGACATCCTGATGCTTACGACCTGGCCGACACTAGGGGAGCAAAAAGTGGCATAAACATAATTAGCCTGACGAAAGACCCAACCATGTGCAGTTGCGAGTACCGCATTGTGGGTACCGGCTTCGGTGAAGCTCCTATGGGGCCACGAAACTTGTGAGGGGTGCGCCGAAATTGGTGGCGCGGACGCATGTGGACACCGCCACTGGGGCCTTCGGTGTAGCTCCCTATGGGCCCACGAAACGCTGCCCTAGGCGAGGGAGACGCATGCGAACTCCGCCATTGGGACCTTCGCTGGAGCTCCTTATGGGGCCACAAAGCGCTGTCATGGGTGGGGGAGACGCACGCGCGCGAACTGCGCCTCTGGCGCCTTCGGTAGAGCTCCCTATGGGGCCACGAAGCGCTGTCCTGGGCGGGGGAGACGCATGCGAACACCCCAATTGAGGCCTTCGGTGGAGCTCCCTATGGGGCCACGAAGCGCTGTCCTGGGTAGGGAGGCGCGTGCGAACACCTCCACTGGGGCCTTCGGTGGAGCTCTCTATTGGGCTACGAAGCGCTGCCCTGGGTGGGGGAACCGCATGTGGGCACCCCCACTGGGGCCTACGGTGGAGCTCCCTATGGGGCCACGAAGCGCTGCCCTGGGTGGGGGAACCGCATGCGGGCACCCCCACTGGGGCCTTCGCTGGAACTCCCCATGGGGCTACGAAGCGCTGCCCTGGGTGGGGGAGACGCATGCGAACACTCCCACTGGGGCCTTCGGTGGAGCTCCCTTTGGGGCCACGAAGCGCTGCCCTGGGTGGGGGAACAGCATGCGGGCACCCCCACTGGGGCCTTCGGTGGAGCTCCCTATGGGGCTACGAAGCGCTGCCCTGGGTGGGGGAACCGCATGCGGGCACCCCCACCGGGGCCTTCGGTGGGGCTCCCTGTGGGGCCACGAAACGCTGCCCTGGGTGGGGGAACCGCATGCGGGCACGCCCACTGGGGCCTTCGGTGGAGCTCCCTATGGGGCCACGAAGCGGTGCCCTGGGTGGGGGAACCGCATGCGGGCACCCCCACTGGGGCCTTCGGTGGAGCTCCCCATGGGGCGCCGATCCGAGAAATCCGCGCAGACCTCAGAGTTTTCCCCCAATCAGAGCTTGCCTCTGTAGGGGTCCCAGCGGATTCATATGGTTAGGTTAGGCTCGTCGCCGATTTTCGCGTCACGCCCGGGTGCCCGGGGGTGCCCGGGGGTGCCCGGGGGTGCCCGGGTGCCCGCGGGTGCCCGCGGGTGCCCGGGCGTGCCTGGGGGTGCCCTGGTGCCCAGGTGCCCTGGTGCCTGGGTGCCCGGGCGTGCCCGGGGGTGCCTGGGGGTGCCCGGGGGTGCCCTATAGCCCTACAACTCTATAGACCTATAGCTCTATAGCCCTATAGCTCAATATTCACAAAATTAGGTTAGGTTTGCCGCCGATTTTCGCTGCACGCACGCCCGGGTGCCCGGGTGCCCGGGGGTGCCCGCGGTGCCCAGGTGCCCAGGTGCCCGGGTGCCCAGGCGTGCCCTGGGGTGCCCGGGGGTGCCCTATAGCCCTATAGCCCAATAGCCCTACAACTCTATAGCCCTATAGCTCTATAGCCCTATAGCTCAATAGCCCTATAGCTCCCTAGCCCTATAGCCCTGATTGTTTTTTTTCTCCGGTATCATTCTGTTTATGTCGCTTTTTGCTCCTCTAGACACGGATCGTATCCATGCCGCACATATAAGCGAATCGCGTAAAGCGAAACATACACACGGGAGAACACAAACAATTCGAGTCGACGGCGGCGACGAACCACGACGAGGACAAACCGAGGCGGCCAACATTCTGCAAACTAGCAAGCGTGCTCGACACTTCGCTTCCGCTTGCCCCTCTGGCTCTGATCTCAAAGGACGCGCCATCCTCGACAGAGCGGCGGCGAAGACGATCACCACGTCGGCCTGCGACGCAATACTTTTGGCCTCGGACATGTCAAACCCGCCGTAGTGCAACACCTGGGGTGTCGGCATATTCCAACAAAGAAGAAAAGGCGCAACCAATGAGTCAAATAGCCTATTTGAAATAGGAGAAGAAAAAACGGCATGCACATAGACGGTTGGCGCTCCGCGCGGAGCGCCAACAGTTTATGTTTATGTTTTTTTCGTCTTCGACAGGAACCTCCCTCCGCCTCCTTCCCTCGCACTGCCCCCACCGCGGAATCTTGTGCAGACACATGCGCCCGCAGACGCTTCGCGCTGGTGGAGCCGCTCTCGCTACGAATTCGCCGGCCCCCTTGGGGGGGCCAACAGGCTGCGCGGCGGAGGTGTTCCTTTCTTCCTGGCAACAGCTCCGATTCCAAAGCTTTCGAATGAGAGATTTTCAGCGCTCTAGGTCCATTTTTGAATTTGTGATAGCTTTTTTTTTGTTGTTCTAGGTCCAATGTTGTGGTGCTTTTGAACGCCGCGCGAGGACCCGGGCCCGAAGCGCGGCCCCGCGCCAGAATCGCGCTGCCTGGATGTACCGGGGCCCTGGGACACGTCAAACAAAACATGCTCGCGCTCACGATGCCACAGCCGCGGGTCAATTACGAAGCGTCGGCGCTCCCGAGGCCGCGATCCCTGGCAGATTGCTGCGACCTCGCGCTTCCCAAACCATGGCAGCTTGGAAATGAAGGCGGGCTCGCGCTCCCGAGGCAACATCACTTTGTAACTTGCGGCACGCGTGTGCGTCTCCGGGGCCGCCGTCCCTTGTCAACTACAACGAGTTCGCGCTCCCCAGACCGTAGCCTCGTGTAAATTACTATGCGCTCGCGCCCCCGAAGCCAGACCCCCTAGTCCGCCACGGTGCCCTGAGGCACGAGTTGAAGGGCCCGAAGGGGCCCAAAGCATTGAGTACCCCAAAGTTTTGGAAAGATCTTGGCGTTGTCGCCCTTTCGGGCTTCCGACCGACCGAGGCGGCCCAGGAGGCTCCCGAAATCGCCCCAGCGCGGCTCCCAAGAGGGCCCCCCAGGCGGCCGAGGACAGTCCCAAGACGCGACGCGTCGAGCCCTCCGCCCCCAAAGAGGACCCCCGAAACCGCGAGCATTCCCCCGGGACCCCCCCCAGAAGCTTAAGGGAGGCCTTCGGGACACCCGAGTCCAAGAGGCCCCCAGACCCCCGACATGCCCCTCCCCCTGGCCCTCCTCCTCCTCCTCCTCCTCCTCCTCCTCCTCCTCCTCCTCCTCCCTCCTCCTCCTCCTCCTCCTCCTCCTCCTCCTCCTCCTCCTCCTCCTCCTCCTCCTCCTCCTCCTCCTCCTCCCAATCGTCCTCGTTGACTTCCGCCTCCTTCTCCCTTTCCTCCTCCTCCTCCTCCTTGACTTCCGTCTCCTCCTCCTCCTCCTCCTCCTCCTTCTCCTCCTTGACTTCCGCCTCCTTCTCCCTCTCATCCTCCCCCTCGTCCTCCTCTTTCATCCTTTCGCCTGGCCCCTGGCCCTCCTTGCGCTTCGAATGCAATGCAAGCGCCGAGGTCCCATTCGACACCTGGATTGTGGAATCGGCAGCGTATTGCGCACCATGGAAAGGGTTCGGGTGGAAGAGTAGGATGTCAGCTGTGGCGCGACCGCAAGCATATTGTCTCTTCTCCCTCTACCCCTCCTCTTGCCATTCTCCTACAAGCCACGCAGGTGTGGCCAACGACCGATGTGGAACTGACGCGCTCGTAGGTGGTTCAATTTGAAGGGCCCGAGTTGGCCGTCTTGGGCGTGTCTTGCGGCTCTTCGGAGGGCCCTCGTGGGCATTCTTGTGGGCTTACTGGGGCTCTCTTGGGCCGCCTGGGGGATGTTTTGGGGCCTTCCTTCCTTAGGCTATCTAGGGCCCCTCAGAGCCATCTTAGGGAGTCTCTTCAAGTCGCGTTGGACCCCTTTGGCGCCCTCTTGGGACGTCATGGAGGCCTCTTGGAAGTTTCGGGGCCCTCTTGGGCAATGCTGGGGCTACCTGGGAACTCTCGTGGACCCTTTTGGGCTGTCATGGAATGGCCTTGGGGAGCCTCTTGGGCCGTCTGGGACGCTTCTAACCTCCAAACGGCGGTAATGTTATAACCTAAGGTAGTTCGCGGTCCAAGTGCTTGGTGCTCCATTTCCTTCCTTGGGAGAGTGTTGAACCACATGTGGCCAAATAAGGATACGAAGGAGTGGGACCTCGTGGACTTTTTGGGACCTCTTGGGAGCCGCGAGCACAGTCCTTGAGAACCTTGATGGGCCACCTTGGGCCGTCTGGGCGCCCTCCTGGGCCATCTGGGGCGCCTCTTGGGGCTCGGCAGGACGCTCGGAAATTTCGAAGGAGGCCAGAAAACTTGTTCCCCCGATTCAACACAGCACTATGAACCGCGCAGTGTCTCCCTGTGCCTCCACCTTTGCCTCCTCCTCCCAGTCTTCCTCTTGGGGACCTCTCGGGCCCATCTCGGGCCCTCCTTGGGGCCGCATGCTGCTGCTTGCTGCCGCCTGATTGTTTTCAGTCGCGCCACGTGGAGTATATTCGGATCTAGAGAGCAATTGTGAAGCTTTTCGGGCCGTTCTGGGATCCTCAGACGCCAGTGTGATAACACGGTTCTGGGAAACTCTGGGCACGGATCGCAGGGCCAGCCTGTCCTGGAGCACTAGCCTGAACGAGTGCCTGCAACGTCAGGAGGAGGAGGAGGCGGAGGCGGAGGCGGAGGCGGAGGAGGAGGAGGAGGAGGCGGAGGAGGAGGGGGCGCCCCTTGGATTGCAGCTTCAAGACTGTCTTCCTCCCCCTCCCCTGGCGGGGGCCAAGGGCGGGGGCATCGAGGGCCCCAGGTGCTTGCCGGCCTGACCCGCGGCGACAGCGACGGCGGGCGCCCGGCGCCTTCGTCCCGTTGATCAGCCCGTGGACCTTCGCCGACATCAGCGGCGTGAGCAGCTCGGGGGACACGACGTGGCTGGACCCGCCGCCGCCTCCGCCGCCCCCTCGCAGGGCCTCGCCGAGCGCGCCCCCGTGGGGCGAGGGCACGGGCACGGGCGCGGCCTGCACCGCGCACCACGCCGGCTCCGCAGCGTGGGCACGCGTGTGCGCACGCTCCACGCACCTGCGCACGCGCGCCCACGCTGCGGAGCCGTGGACCACGCCCACGCGCACGGACCACACCAGGCCTGCGCCACGCACACGCGGCCCGGAAGCGCCGGTCGGTGCACTCTGGGTGATAAGCGCCACATCCGTCCTACTACCAGGATAAAGGACTCCGAACAAGGAACGAAGGGGCTTTTTCCCCCATATCCAAATGATGGGGTTCTTGTTGTTACTCTGACCGCGCCGACTCCTTCTTCAGGTCACCTCCTCCCCTTCTCCTTCTCTTCCCCATCTCACTCAGAAATTGATGATGATGATGATGATGGTTATGATGCTGATGGTGTTGATGATGATGATGCTGATGATGTTGATGGTGATGGCGATGATGGAAGGTGATGGTGATGGTGATGGTGCTGATGGTGCTGATGGTGCTGATGGTGATGATGATGATGATGATGATGATGATGATGGCTATGGTGATGATGATGCTTATGCTGCTGCTGCAGCTGATGATGACGATTATGACGATGATAATTGTGATGAGCAGATGCTGCTGCTGACGATGACGATGACGATGATGATGATGATGATGATGATGATGATGATGACGATGATGATGATGCTGATGATGATGATGATGATGCTGCTGCGCTGCTGCTGCTGCTGCTGCTGATGATGCTGATGGTGATGGTGATGGTGATGGTGATGGTGATGGTGATGGTGATGATGATGATGATGATGATGATGATGATGATGATGATGATGATGATGATGATGATGATGATGATGATGATGATGATGACCAGAGGGGGCCAGATTGTGAGGATGTCTCGAGCGGTTTGCCTCCTTACTCGTCTGCGCTCAGAGCAGCCTTTGAGAATGTCTCGAGCCGTTTGCTGGGTTCAACACTCCTAAGGGGGGCCGCCAGGGGTATTGCATGGCCTCCGTTCGCGCCCAAATTGCGGGGATGTCTCGAACGATTTGCCTGTTTGCCAGCTCAGCATCCTCCGCTTTCGGAGGCGCTGGTGCTGGTTTTCGCACCCTAGGGGGCCCAGATGGCGAGGATGTCTCGAGCGGTTTGCTTGTTTTTGGGGCCAGGCTCGTCTGCGCTCAGAGCAGATTCTGAGGAAGCGCGGATTTCAGCACCCCCAATGGGGAGCCGCCAGGGGGTATTGCACGGCTTCTGTTCGCGCCCAAATGGCGGGGAGGTCTCGAGCGGTTTGTCTGTTTGCCAACTCAACATCCCCCGCTTTCGGAGCAGATTTGGAAAACGTCTCGAGCGAGGCGCTGGCTTTCGCACCCCCTGGGGCCTAAATTGCGAGGACTGACGGAGCGAATTCTGGAGAATGCGTCCGAGAATGTGGTGGATTTTCATCTTCCGCAGTGGTCGCCCTCTCACGTTTTACTGGTTCTCGCTTGTTCTACTCCGATCGGCGCCCCTGGCCTCTAGGAGGCGCACCCAGCTGCTTGGTGGGCCTCGCGGGGAGGGCTCCTGAGCCCCAGCCAGGAATTGTCTTGGGGCTGCGTCGGGCAGTTTTCCATCATACCCATGGTGGCTCCAGGGCCGAGTCCGTCCCGAACGTGGCGCGTGCCAGAGGGCTCCTCCCAGAACTCGCTCGGATCCAGATGCCCCGACGAGGGCCCTACAGCCTCCACAGGCCTAGGATTAAGTCGGGCCTGTCCCTATACAGGAGGAATATTCACAAAGAGTCAAACAAACAATCGTTTTTTTTTTTTTTTTTTTTTTTTTTTTTTTTTTTTGTGGTTGTTTTTTTATTTTAAACAACTATTTCGGGGCATGTTTCTGTATGTTCAATTGCTCGTCAAACATCTGCCTGTAGGGGGACATGCCCGACCTAAGCCTAAGACCTCCCCTCAACGCCCGCAACGTGTCCTGGCGGAGCATGTTCCGAAACACGCGTCACAGAACGCGCTGGGTTCCGTCTTCTGCCATTGCCCACCCCCATGGCGGAACGACGGGTCCAGTGGTCACTCGGTCAAGTGGCTTCCAGGAGCCCCACGAGGCCTCCGCCAGGCCCCAGCAGCCCAGGACGTTACCTCAGAGCCCATACCGCTTCCTCACGGAGCGTGTTTCGGAGAATGCATCCCAGAACAAGTTCAATTCCGTCTTCTGCTGTAGTCAGTTACCTTGCTTGCGTGCGCCCTCCCTCTCCCGCACAGAGCCCCAAGAAAAGCCCCAAAGCCCCCAGAGGGCCCCGACAGAGCCCCTGGACGGCCCACAGATGCTTCCAAAATGTTTCCCCAGGGCGTCAGACGGGCAACGAGCGCCCTGGGAGAGCCTAAAAAGCTTCCAGTGAGGCCCAGGGGCTACAAAAAATGCACCCGAGAGGCCCTCAAAGGGCCTTCAAGATGGCCCCCACGCGGCTTCCCAGAGAGCCCCCCCCGCGGACCGACGATGCCTCGAAGAGGTCCCACACCCCAGAACATTAGCGGAAGGCCCCCAACGTTGCTTTGTGGACCGCGTTCTGCAGAAAGCGTCCCAGGACGCATTGGGCTCCGTCTTCGCCCGAGTCCACCCTCCGTGCTTGCGTGCACGGCAGGCACATACCGTTTCTGGGCGATCGTGTTCCGGAGAATGCGTCCCAGAACGCGCTGGGTTTCTTTTTCCGCCGTGGTCGCGCTCTTACGTTTTAGAGTCATCGCCTTTTCGCTTTCGATGGGCGCCTCAGGCCTTGGAAGGCGGACCTTGCTCGGCCTCATGCGGGCCTCTTCGAAGCTGCTTGGTGGGCGTCCCAGGGAGGGCTTCTGAGCCCCAGCCAAGGGGTTTCTTGGAGTTGCGTCGGGCTGTTCTCCGTCCTGTCGGGGGTGGCTCCAGGTCCAAGACCGTCCCAGACGTAGCGTGTTCCAGAGAGCTTCTCCCAGAACGCGCTCATACAGCCTCCACAAAACACTCGGGCCTAAGACCTCCCCTCAACGCCCGCAACGTTTCCTGGCGGAGCGTGTTCCGGACGACGCGTCCCAGAACGCGCTGGGTTCCGTATTCTCCCATGGCCCACCCCCATGGCGGCACGACGACTCCAGCGATCCTTCGGTGAAGGGGCTTCCAGGAGGCCCCACGAGGCCTCCGCGAGGCCCAAAAGCCCAGGATGCTATTTCAAAGCCCATACCGGTTCCTCGTGAAGCGTGTTCTGGAGAAGGCGACCCGGAACGCGCCCAGTTCCGATTTCTGCCGTGGACAAGTTCCCTGCCTGTGTGCCACCTCCGTCTCCTTCATTATCCATGTTGTTTTGCCTTCCACTGCTGCTATGCGCCCCCGATTTGTCTTCTCTTTCTTCCAGCCACATCGCGCTTCTTTGCTTCTCCTGCTTGCCCTTCTCGCATTCTCATCCCGCCACCCTTTGCCCCATGGGCGTCTGCCTCGGGGGGCTCCGAGAGAGCCCCCCGACGGTCCAGAGAGCACCCCGAAATGGCTCCACAAGGCGTGAACCAGGCCACGAGCGCCCTGGGAGAGCCCAACACCCCCCACGAAGGCCCAGAGGCCCAAAACAGGCGCCCTGGAGGCTTTCAAAGGGCCCCCCAGAGGCCTTCGCAGCGGTTCCCCAGAGACCCACTGGAGGCCCACCACTTCGAATGATTGGAGGCACAACTTATTCCCAACCAACCTGTGTTGTTGGGTCCTCGTCCCTCGCTTCTCTCGCCCTCGCTTCTCGCCCTCGCTTGCCCCCGCTTCTCGTCCCTCGCTGCTCTCGCCTGCTCCCTCCTGCTACGGATTTCCACGCTCTCTTTTCGCTTGTTGGTTTTCCTCTGACATCTTCTCTCTCAATTCCCCCCCGCTGCCTCTTCTCGTCGTCCCCCACCCTGCTCCTGACTGCTCCCTCTCGCTCCTCGCTCCTGGGGCCTATGAAAAAGACTTCCTTCATCTCTTTCCTGTTTCTCTTCCCGCTCCCACTCCCCTGGCTACGGCCTCGACCTCGGCCCTGGCCGCGGCCGAAATCGGCACTGGAAACGGGGGCGAATCCTGGGCCGGGACGCCTCCGCGCCCCAAGCACACGAGGCCCCACCCTCAGTGGTGCCGGCGACGATGAGCACGGTCGGCTCGGGGGCGACCTCTGGATGTAATGCGCCAAAAGGCCCAAACACTCTCGCGTCAAGAAACTCGCCTGGCGAAAGACCCAACCATATGCAGTTGTGAAAACCGTCGTTGTATGTACCACCTTCGGAGGAGCTCCCTACAGTGCCACTAAATGTGTGAGGGGTGTGCCAAATTGGGCGCGATGGGCGCATGCGAACGCAGCAACTGGGGCCGCCGGTGGAGCTCCCATCTGGGGCCACGGAGCGTGCGAGGTGTGTGTGTGTGTGTGTGTGTGCCAGAATGGGTGCGGTGGGCGCATGCGAACGCAGCCACGGGGACCTTCGGTGGAGCTTCCTGTGGAGGCGCGAAGCGTGTGAGAGGTGTGTATCCAAACGGGTGCGGTGGGCGCATGTGGCAGCCACTAGGGCCGTCGGTGGAGCGCCGTATAGGGCCACGAAACGTATGATGGGTGTGCCAAATTGGGTGCGTGGGCGCATGCGAACGAGGCCGCTGAGGCCGTCGGTGGAGCTCCCTCGGGGGCCACGAAACGTGTGAGGGGTGTGCCAAACTGAGTGCGATGGGCGCGTGCGAGCGCAGCCACTGAGGCCACGAATCGTGTTAGGGGTGTACCAGGATGGGTGTGGTGGGCGCATGCGAACGCTGGCATTTGGGCATTCGGTGGAGCTCCTTGTGGGGCCACGAAAAATGTGAATGGTGTGCCACAATGGGGGCGGTGAGGGCGCTTGCGAATGCAGCCACTAAGGCCGTCGGTGGAGCTCCGTATAGGGCCAGGAAACGTGTGAGGGGTGTGCCAAGATTGGTGTAGAACTCCCTATGGGGCCACGAAGCGTGTGAGAGGTGTGCCAAAATGGATGTGGTGTGCGCGTGCGAACGAAGCCGCTGGGGCCGTCGGTGGAGCTCCTCTGGGGCCACGCAACGTGTGAGGTGCGTACCAAAATGGGTGCGGTGGGCGCATGCGAACGCAGCCACTGGGCCCGTCGGTAGAGCTCCCCATATGGGGCCACGAAGCGTGTAAGGGGTTTGCCGAAACAGAGATATGCAGATGGCAGGGGCAAGCATGGGAAGAGGGAGGAGGGGAGAGGGAGGAAGGAGGGGGGAACGCGGGGCGCTGTCTTTTCAAACAAGGACCGAACACCACAAGATGGTAGGGGAAATCGCGACGGAGCGATTTTGATCATTTTTGGCCTCTTGGGGCTCTGTCCGGGCTTCGGGGCCGCCAGCACGACTCAGGATGAACAACTGGTCCTGGCGAAGGGGTGGAGACCTCCAGGGGTCCACCTTGCTTCGAAGCTGACGGCGTCTTCGTTCTCGGGACATGCAGAAGCGTTGGCAAGGAATCGGGCAGAACAATCGGTCGAATTCTATTCGCAGATTGGGTCTCGAACCGCTGAAGGTAACTCATTCCCTCTATTGGCTCCTCGGGCACTCTCCCCCCCTAAGGGCTGTCCAGGGCGTGCTTCTTCACGTGCTGAGGAAACAGTCGATCGAACTCAAACAGCAGACTGGGCCTCGGACTGTGGAAGGCAACTCGTTCCCTCTGCTGGGCCCCTCGGGCACCCCTCCCTCCGTAAGGGCTGCCCAGGGCGAAGTTCTTCACGTCGTGAGCGCCCGCCGCCCACCCGAGCACGGCTATGGTGCCGATCTCCGCGGAGCGGAGCGGCAGAATGCCTCCCCTGCACCGCCGCGCTTCCGCAGGGAGCTTCGGTCTCAGCTGCCCATTCTTGCCCTTGGTGACTCCTTCCTCCGATGCAGGAGGAGCTCGACCACAAGAAGCCTTTCCAAAAGAGACCTAGCCTGAGACCCCAGGACGTTCATGGGTTTTCGGTGTGGGAGCGTCACGCTCTCCATAGCAGAACCATCGAAGCCCAGGAAACCCAGGGCACCCTGGAGGCAATCAGGGTGTTTCGTGGCATGGGCTTCCACCGTACACTTACAATGCACTTGCGGTATGGTCAGAGCACTGCTGGTCCTCACACCTCACTGAGATTGTCATCCCCCTCATCCTCACCCGTGTTATCCTCAGATCTGTCCTCGTGTCTCTCGCCTCCGTGGGCTTCGTGCTCCTTTTCTCTGTCGACTGGGGCAAGCGTGGTTCGCTGATCATACCATCAGTGGAGCCGCTTCGCGTGAATAGCAGCCTCATCCTCCTACCTGCAAATTCACAGCCGTTGGCAAGCACACGGATTGCCTGCCCAAAAAAGCAGAACTCATGGCTCCGCGTCCCCATAGCCTCCGCGCCCAGTGCACACAAGAGCCGCCGCCGCACCTCGGCACTACCCGATCTCCCCTCCGTCGTTCTTGAGCAGGACTATGGACTTCCGGGCGGCATCCAACGCGACATCCATGTGAGCGAAGCCTCTGAAGGGGAGCCGCGTCTCGGGAGGGAGCTCGCGACTGCTGCTGCTGCTTCTGCTCATCATCCCCTTCCTTCTTCCCCTCGTCCTCCATCGACTCCTCTTCCTCCTTCTTCCCCTCCCCGTCCCCACCCCTCCCCTTCCGCCTCCTCCAACTCCTCACTCATGGCCCTCGTGGTCCCTGCTCATCGCCGCAACCGCCGTCGTCGCTGCCGGTCGGCCGCCACCCGCCACCCGCCACCCGCCACCCGCCGCCCGCCGCGGGCGCCTTGGCTGCCGCGCTGGTTGGACCGCCGCTCCGCGCCGCAGGGTGCCTCGCACTGCCGCTGCTCGTGCAGGCGGGCGTGGTAGATCGAGGCCACCACTCGGACGGCAGCCTCGCGCCGCGCCGGTGGGGGGGCCCCAGCCCCCCTGGCGCCGTGGCAAAGACTTTTTCCGTCGGCCCGGCGGCGAGGCAGAGGCAGTCCGCTCCAGCGTGGGGCAACGCGAGGCAAGCGAAGGGCCACTTGGCCGGCGTGCAAGGAGAGGGACAGGGACGAGGTCGGCCGCGCGGGGGGAGGAGGAGGAAAGAGCGCTCAGACGTGGAGGAGCTCCGCGGCAAGCGGGCGGGCATGGCCGGCCGTGGCAGCGCCGTGACAAACACCCGGCGGGCTTTTTGGGGGGGCCATCCTCGTGGGGGGCTCTCGCCGGGCCCAGGGAGACCGTCAACAAGAACCGGCTCGAGATGAAACGCCCGTCCCATGGGTCGTGGATCTGCTGACCCGGAGGACCCTGCAAAATCCTGCAGGATCCTGCACGCAAGCCCAGGTCGGTGCAACCCTGGCTCTGCAGGAATTCTGTCAGAGCCGGCGCTCGGAGTGGCCCCCGTGTGCATGGACCCCCGTCCCTTGAGCCCCGAATGGGGAAGGGGCCCAGACTTCTGGGGGTCCACGTTGCACAGAAAACGCGCTGTACCCAGACCCCCGACGTCATGATCTTTTTCACCACGTCGACCCACAAAGGTTTCGACCCCTTCCCTGGGACCAGTTTTTCATCCCGAATCGTTCCCCACATCCTAAATGGGGTTCTTGTTTTCTCTGGACACCCCGCGCAGTCCTCCCTCACCCTCACTCACTCCTTCACTCACTTATCACCATCACCATCACCATCACCATCACCATCACCATCACCATCACCATCACCATCACCATCACCATCACCATCACCATCACCATCACCATCACCATCATCATCATCATCATCATCATCATCATCATCATCATCATCATCATCATCATCATCATAATCATCATCATCATCATCATCATCATCATCATCATCATCATCATCATCATCTTCACCAATTCACGCACTCACTTACACTCACACTCTCTCAATCACACGCTCACACACTCACTTCTCATCGTCACCATAATCATCATCACTCACTCACTCATTCACTCACTCACCATCATCAATCACTCACTCATCATTTCGTCATCACTCACCGCACGGCATGACCCTCAGGTGGGAGCTTCGTCTGTGAGTGAATTGCGAGGAAATCTTAGGCGGGAGCCTCCTCCTTATGGGATCCGCATTTCATGTTCGAATCTGAGGCGGGTCATCGGAATCCTGTAACTGTCGTCACTTTTGGGCTCCTCAGGCCAGAACATGGAGGAAGTATCAAGCGGGAGCTCCCTCCCTAAGGGGCCCACACTTCATGTTCGAATCCGATGCGGGCCATCGGCATCCTGTAACTGTCGTCACTTTTGGGTTCCTCAGGCCTGAATATGGAGGAAGTATCAGGCGGGAGCCTCGTCTGTGAGTGAATTGCGCGGAAATCTCAAGCGGGAGCCCCCTCCCTAAGGGGACCGCACATCATGTTCGAATCCGAAGCGGGTCATCGGCATCTTGTAATTGTCTTCATTTCTGGGCTCCTCAAGCCTGAATACGGAGGACGTATCAGGCGGGAGCCTTGTCTGTGTGAGTTTTGAAGAACTCTCAGGCAGGAACTCCCTCCCTCAAGGGCCCGCACATCATGTTCGAATCCGAGGCGGGTCATCGGCATCCTGTAACTGCTGTCACTTTTGGGCTCCCAGGCCTGAACATGGAGGAAGTATCAGGCGGGAGCCTCGTCTGTGAGTGAATTGTGAGGAAATCTCAAGCGGGAGCTCCCTCCCTAAGGGGACCGCGCTACATGTTCGAATCCGATGCGGGTCATCGGAATCCTGTAGCTGTCGTCACGTTTGGGTTCCTCAGGCCAGAATTTGGCGGAAGTGCCAGGCGGGAACCTCGTCTGTGAGTGAATTGCGAGGAAGTCTCAGGCGGGACCCCCCCTCTCAAGGGGCCCGCGCTTCATGTTCGAATCCGAGGCGGGTCATCGGCATCTTGTATTTGTCTTCACTTTTGGGCTTCTCAAGCGAGAATTTTGGGGAAGTATCAGGCGAGAGCCTCGTGTGTGAGTGAATTGCGACAAAGTTTCAGGCGGGAGCCCACTCCCTAAAGGGACCGCGCTTCATGTTCGAATCCGAGGCGGGTCATCGGCATCCTGTAAATGTAGTCACTTTTGGGCTCCTCAGGATTGAATATGGAGGACATATCAAGCGGGAACCCCTTCCCTAAGGGGCTCGCGCTTCATGTTCGAATCCGAGGCGGGTCATCGGAATCGTGTAACTGTCATCACTTTTGGGCTTCTCAGGCCTGACGGTGGAGGAAGTATCAGGCTGGAGCCTCGTCTGTGAGCGAATTGCGAGGAAGTCTCAAGCGGGAGCGCCGTCCCAAAGGGGCCCGCGCTGCGTGTTCGAATCCGAAGCGGGTCATCGGAATCATGTAGCTGTCGTCACGTTTGGGTTCGTCAGGCCTGAATATGGTGGAAGTGTCAGGCGGGAGCCTCGTCTGTGAGTGAATTGCGAGGAAGTCTCAGGCGGGAGCTCCCTCCCTCAAGGGGCCCGCGCTGCATGTTCGAATCCGAGGCGGGTCATCGGAATCATGTAAGTGTCGTCGTTTTTGGGCTCCTCTGGTCTGAATGTGGAGGCATCAGGCGGGAGCCTCGTCTGTGAGTGAACCCCGAAGAAGTCTCAAGCGGGAACTCCCTCGTCGTCATCGATGTCGGGTCGGCGTTCTGATTTTGGCGTCTGGGGGCCGTTCGGGGGCCCTGGGGCCGTCGAACATTGACCCAAGGTCTTCTCTGAGATCCCTTGCGTCTTCGAGCTGAAGGGCACGAAGCGCTTCGATCCCAGGGGCCCTCTGTTCGCGATCTTGGGCTGCACGCGCGAGGGCACGACCTTCCCACCGGAAGTCTGGTCCGCCTGGGAGAAGACGTTGGCCTCGGACAACCACGGCGTCCTGGACCCTCGGCACCAACACGACAACTTTCGGCTCGGCTACGGCATGGGCGTCTACTGGGAGACGCTCGCGAGGTGGATCAACACGCGCGCTCGTCGCGACGCACAGCGCCTCGGCGTCCCCCTCGTTGTCCTGCAAGCCGTAGACTAGTGCGGTGCGATACATGGCGATCCAGACGCGGGCCGACGCCTCCTGAGCGTCCCGAGCATGCGCAAAACGGGGGACATCCATGGCGTCTTACTGGCACACGTCGGCATGGAGGTTCGGTTCACGGCCGCGCAGGGGGAGTTGAAGAAGAAGTTGGGGCTCGAGCAGGAGCAACGGGCCACCATCGTGTCCTTCGAATTTCACCCGCACGACGAGCGGGACTACGAGGAGCGCGCGCTGGGCCATCTCTTTCGCCCCCGGTACCTACCGCAGGGAATCTGGCTGCAGATCAACGGCTTCAAGGGGTCCCCGATCTACAAGGAAGTCGCCAAGGTGCTGCTGCTGCAGGGCGCCGAAAGCGCCGTCGAACACGGCGCGGCCGAGGAGCTTGCTCATGTTCGGGCCCAACGAGCAGGAGTTCACGTGATAGAGCTCGAGGGCGCACGCTGTGCGCCGCTCGGGGTTCACCCTAACGCGCGCGCGCGTCCGGCCTGACCTCCACGCTGTCGCAGGGCCAGACGCTGCGCAAGGGCGTCACCGTCGACTGCGCGAGGGACAAGGACGCTGGCCGCACGGGCATGTCGGACGAGCAGTGGTGGCTGCACCTCTACGTCATGTTCTCCCGCGCCACGTGCACGCAGAACATGCTGATCCTGCTGCCGCCCTCGCGCGAGTTTCTGGGGCGCGGGCCGCCGGCGTCCTTGTGGGAGGCGCTCAAGAAGCTCGAGGAGAAAGCGAAGACCTCCAGGTATGAGGCCGAGCAGCTTGCGGCGGAGCTTGGCTTCGTGCTGCCTCCCGCATGAGCGCCGCGGCGCGCAGCTAGAGGCCCGCGGGTTTGTCCCAACGGTCTGGCCCGCGGGGTTGTCCCGACGGCCTGCCCCTGCGCTCGAGCGGCCCGCCGGGTTGTCCCAAAGGCATGGCCCGCGGAGCTGCCCCAAAGTCTTCGCGAACCAACAGTCGGCGAATGCGCACGCGCTGGCCGAGGCGGCGACGGCGCCGAGGGCAATCGATTTGCTTGCCCCGACCAGGGGGAAGGGGGAAACACATGGAGAAGAAACAAGGGAAGGATGACGACGGGGAAGGGATTGGGAGACGGCGACGATGATGAGGAGGTGGAGGAGGAGGGGGAGGAGGCGACGATAGGAGGAGGAGGAAGAGGAGGAGGAGGAGGAGGAGGAGGGAGGAGGAGGAGGAGGAGAGAGGAGGAGGAGGAGGAGGAGGGAGGAGGAAGGAGGAGGAGGAGGAGGAGGAGGAGAGGAGGAGGAGGGAGGAGGAGGAGAGGAGGAGGAGGAGGAAGAGGAGGAGGAGGAGAGGGCAGAGCAGAGGGCGAGAGGAGGGTGTCTGCCAGGGCGAGGAGGAAAGGGCTAAGGGCAAACTGAACATATTCTCATGCGGGGTCCTTCCGTCGGGGTAATTTTTGGGACGGTCCCGGGGCCCGGTAGGGGCACCAGGAAGCCGAGAATAACGAAAAACCTCCCGCCGCGATATTTTCACCACGCCAAGGGGGACTGGGTCGGGGCCCCGTGGAGCCTGGCGCCTGGGAGCGCTCTGGGAGCGCTCTGGGGGGCGCTCCAGGGGCGCGCGGGTGCCCCAGGGGCGCCCGGGCCCGTGAAATTTTTGGGACGGTCCCGGGGCCCGGTAGGGGCACCAGGAAGCCGAGAATAACGAAAAACCTCCCGCCGCGATATTTTCACCACGCCAAGGGGGACTGGGTCGGGGCCCCGTGGAGCCTGGCGCCTGGGAGCGCTCTGGGAGCGCTCTGGGGGGCGCTCCAGGGGCGCGCGGGTGCCCCAGGGGCGCCCGGGCCCGTGAAGCGGTGCGCGGGGCATCGAACACGAGGGGGCAGAGATCGCGAGGGCACATGGAAGGGAGGAGTGGAGGGAGGAGGAGGAGGAGGAGGAGGAGGAGGAGGAGGAGGAGGAGGAGGAGGAGGAGGAGGAGGAGGAGGAGGAGGAGGAGGAGGAGGACGAGGAGGAGGAGGACGAGGAGGAGGAGGGGGAGGAGGGGAAGGAGGGGAGGAGGACGGGGAGGGGAGGGGAAGGATGGGAGGGAAGGGGGGAGGGACAGGCTAGGTGCACCCGCGTCACATCTGACGTCCAACCACTCCCTCCCATCCCTTACCATGGCGTAGATCTCCTCTCTACTCGCACAGTCGGATGTCGAGCAGGGAACTGATCACGAGGGGGTGCGCGATGCATCGTAGAGCACGGCATGGCATGGCGTAGAAGAGCACGGCAAAGCGTACAGTGTCATAGCAGGGCGTGGCATTGCGTAATGGAGCATTGCATCACAAAGCATTGCAACGCAAAGCATGGCATTGCACAGCGGCGCATAACCAAACACCGCACACCATCTCTTGGCAGGGCACCAAGTTCCTTGGAGGGTAAGCGGATAGTCTTCGAAGGATCGGGGCCGGTCTGGAGTCGCGGCTCCATGTTTAGCTCCCTGGGCTTCGCGACGAGCTCCCCAAAAGGCGGGGCTGATGGAGAGCACTCCCTGGCCCTGCTTGCAACATCGCATTCTGAGGGCAGAAGCGGGGTTCCCGCTTGATGCTTCCTCCAGACGCCGCCGCCCTGGGGGGGGGGCCTTCTGCGGCCCTCGCTGCCAGCCCTGGCTCACCGCGCTTCGGCGCGGCACGCGAGCCACGTCGCGGTCCCTGGGCGTCCACGCTCCGAGCCTCCCAGTCTCCCGCCGGGCGGAGCGGAGCGACACGCTATCCCCCTGCAGCGCACAGCGTGTCGCCGGGGCCGCCGCCGCGGCACGCTAAGCAAGCATTGCCGCGCGTCTTCTTCTTCTTCTTCTTCCTCATCCTCCTCCTCCTCCTCCTCCTCCTCCTCCTGCTCCTCTCCCTGCCGCCCGCGGACTTGGCGGTCTGCGGGGGCTTCCCGCCTTTCACATCCAGAGGGTTTCAATGACTTCCAATCTGAGAGAGAGAGAGAGAGAGAGAAAGAGAGAGAGAGAGAGAGAGAAATAGGAAACGGCGTGAATCTTGCACCGCCCCGCCGAACGCCGTACGCCGTCTCTGGGAGCCCTCTCGATCCTGGAGCGATCTTGGAAGCCTTTGGGCCCGAGGCGCCCTCCGCGTCCCGGGCCGGCCTGCTGCTGAAGCATGCCCGAGGGGTCCGACTCGGGCCGAGGCGAGTGGCGCCTGCGAGGCACGGCACGACACACAAGCGTGGTGAGGGGGAAGCGTGGGGGTATGATCCTCACCAGGAGCAGGGTCAAGAGGAGGAGTGGGGAGGAAGAGGCGGAGGAGGAGCAGCAATAGGAGGAGAAGCATGAGGAGGGATGATGGAGAATGAGAAGAGCATGGTCGGCTCCAAGATCGACCACAGCAGCCCCCCGTCCTCCTCCTATTCTCCTCATCGCTTCGTCGTCTCCTCCTTCTCTGCCCTTCCTCCCCGCTCCCTCCCCTCCTCCTCCGCATCCTCCTTTCCTCGTCGTCATCGTTTTCCTCCTCTTTCTCGTGCTCTTCGCATCCTCTTCCCTCTCCTCCTCCTCCTCCTCCTCCTCCTCCTCCTCCTCCTCCTCATCACCATCACCATCACCATCACCATCATCATCATCATCATCATCATCATCATCATCATCATCATCATCATCATCATCATCATCATCATCACCGTCACCATCATCATCATCATCATCATCATCATCATGAACATCATCATGAACATCAGCATCATCATACTCATCATCACCATCACCATCACCATCACCATCATCACCATCACCATCACCATCATTACCACCATTATCACCATCATCATCACCATCATTACCATCACAATCACAATCATCATCACCACAACCATCATCATCACCACCACCTCCATCATCATCATCATCATCATCATCATCATCCTCATCCTCATCCTCATCCTCATCATCATCATCATCATCATCACCATCATCATCATATCATCATCACCATCATCGTCATCCTCTTCACCGTCCTCCTCCTCATCATCGACGGCCGAACGCTTGTTTGACTAATGACAGTGGCTAGGCTAGGACGCGCGCTGGAGCTGCAAGGTAGTATATCAGAGCTATGTGACTACAACTCGGGTGAGATCATACTGGCTTCTCTCCCTCGTTCGTCCATGCTTGGTTGAATGTTGCGACTCGTTGAGGCATCCCTCTCATGAGAGAGATGAGAGAAACAACGATACTGTCAAAGAAACGTTGACAACACAGGGCAGGGCATGCAACACATACTAGCGCAATCCAACTGCCTTCACGTGATAGCGCGTCGCGTCGATGGACCGACATTGACCTGACATACCAACGATCGGGACCGCAAGGACACGACTTCAACTGAGGCTGACAACATGACATATGGCCGCAACGGGAATTCGAACACACGGGCACCACTTGCAGATCCAGGGCGCTATCAAGCTCCTCATCCTACATACTTCTGATGCTTTGCAAGAGACAAAAAGGTCCTCATTCACGCTCATGCTATGGTCACCGTCATCACCCCCTAGAAGGTGCTCTTCGGTGAACCACCGCGCCGTGGGCATCTCCATATCCAGCCCTGCATCGATAGCCTGGCAAATGCATTTCATCAACACTGTCTTGCCGAACCTTCCGCACGTCCCTCTTCCTCCTGCTCTCTTTCACCCATCCGCAATGATATGCAGATCGCATGCCATCAACAGAGACGTTGCTTAATACAAAAACAATGTCCCAACCTTGTTCACATATGTCATACCCATCAGTGGAAGACTTGACCAATGAGCCAAGTGCTGCCTACAGGCAGAGCTGCCACTGAAGTAGCCCTGCCGAACCATGCATGGATCACTTCAAGAATCGCCGCAGCTCTTCCGAGTACCTGGAAGAAACAGCAGCAAGACGATGGCTTTGGCAGGCGGGAGAATTCACAAGGTGGGCGGCGTCTGCCTCGGCGCTGCGGGTGCCAAGCCAGCTGGACATCACGAAGCCCTCGAAGCCCATGGCCTCTTTGAGGTCGCGCTTCAGGAGGTTTGCATTCTCGCACGCGTAGTCGCCATCCACCTCGGTGCCACAGCGGGCTCACGCACACTGCTCCCCAGAACGTGCTTGCTGGGACAAGCTGTTCGACATAATAATCATAAACCATGCTTTCCGCACTTTCTCTTCTTCGCGTGGTCGTCACTTACTGCTCCGGATGCTCCGCTGTTTACCAAAGAACAGACTGTCATGGCGACTCCCGATCTCTATTTCACTGACGCGGTACGTGTCGGAGGTGCGCACGTATGCCTACCTCCAGGCCTATTCCTGCGTTCAGCGATGAACTGGTGCACATGTGCGGATGCATGCGCATATGCGAGGGCCACTACAGCATGAACCCAGCGCGACTACGTTCGGTTTTCCTCGCATCTGAGGAGCAGCACACGGACCAGATACAGGAAATATGAAAACTAAAGGAATCCTGAAAGTAAGTGGGCAAACTAATTATACCACAAATAAAGAGTGACGGCAACCTACATGGAAATGATAAGCGATACCAGCAATATCCGCCACCGTGCCTGCACGGAATGGGCGTGTCAGAATGTTCTTCTGTTGTGTGGTCATGTTTTTAAGTGTTTGTCTAGGGCCGACCCCCCCTCATCGCACGCATCGTTCGAGCACCCAAGACAGCCAAGATGACACCAAGATGGCCAAGGACCGGTCAAGAGACTCCCCCAAAACGGAATCAAGACAACCCAAGAGGCCTCAAAGACCGCTCAAGAAGGCTCAAAGAGGCCCTCCAGGAGAGCCCGAGGAGACAAACACCATTTATTATTATTGTTTTTGAAAGATGTTGAGGTTCTCTCCTGTTTGGGTGAGCGGCCGCTCAAGATGGTCCGAGAGGCCTACACACTTCAAATATAGCTCCAAGACAAGCCAAGAGGCCCCCAAGAGAGCCCCAAGTCGGCCCAAGATGCCCTCAAGAAGCACCCAAGACTCAAGACGCCCCAAGAAGCTCTGAAGACCGCCAAGAGGCTTCCAAGAGGCCCCACCAAAATCGCAAGGAGGCTCCCCAAACGCGTCTGGGACCTATTTGGGACCTACCCGGAAGCTCCGCGGTGGCCGGGGAAGCTTCGGAGAGGCTCCAGGGAAGCCCCGCGGGGAGGGGGGACAATGTACACCAATGGCCCCTGGTGGTCTGCGGCCTAGGGCCTCGGGGATCTTCTGACCTGGGTCAATCCAGACCCAGGGCAGTCAGGCCTTGCAGAATCCTGCGAATTCCTGCAAGATCCTGCACCCAAACCTGGGTCCATGCGAAGGATCCCGCAAGATCCTGCAGGATCCTGCGCCCAAACCCGGGACAGTACGACCCTGGCCCTGCAGGATCCTGCAAGGTCGGGCGCTCTGGCTGACCCCCGCTTGCATGGACCCCCGCCTCTTGAGCCCCGAGGGCCCCCCAAGGGGCTGAGTCTCCCGGCCCGGCACGCGAAAAGAAACTCTGGGGGCCTCCGGCCCGCCTCTCGCTGGCCACGCGCAGAGGGGGGGGTCTCTGTCGGCCTTCCCGCCCGAGAGGGCCTCGGAGACGCTCCCGAGGCCCCCCCCCCAAGACGGCCCACGGGTCCCAGGAGGGCCCAAGTTGGCCCCAAGGTGCCTCCAAGGCCCACTGGCGGCCCCGAGACGGCGCAGGATGGCCGCAGAACGGCCCACGAGACACCGAGGTCGCCCCCAGAGGGCTCCACGAGGACCTCTCGGAGGACCCCCCCACGACCTCGAATTTGTTGACTTTCCAAACGGGTTTCGCGTTCTCGAGCTTTCCGGCTTCCGAAAGCCCAGGGCGGCCCAAAAGGCCTCCACGAGGGCCCCCAGCTGGCCCCAAGACAACTCCAAGAGAGTTCCAAACCGGCCTTGAAAAAGAGTTCCGCCGCACGGCCCAGGAGAGCTCCAAAAAGTGGCCCGAGCGAGCCCCTGGAGGCTCCCAAGAAGGCCCAAAAGGACTCGAAAGTAGCCGCAAGAGAGCCCGAACGTGACCCCTGAGGACCCTCCCCACTGTTCCCCACGTAGCTTTCAAGCGCTGGAGGAACGCGCAGTCCACTGGCATCGTCGCACTTTCGCTCGACACTTCACCACCCCGGCGTTTTCATATGGCGGGGTGCAGCGGTGATTCGCAGTAGGCGTCTTCGATACACGTCGGTCGGAAGAAGCAGGCGAACACATGAAGTAGGAAGGCGGATCAAGTAGATTGGGTTTAGGAGCTCGGAGATACCTGCTTTCAACGACCGGCGTGTATCATCTCCGAGATGGACCAGTGCTGATTGGAACAACGGGTGCTTAGCATGGTCTCTTCTCTACGTCTGTTCTGGGTACTCCAAATGTCGAATAATAAAAAAGGAGGGGGGCACAACCCTCCCAGACGAGCAGTTTAAGGGCGGCCTTTTGCTCAGACCCCACTGGAACCCTCCAAGAGAGCTCAAGGCAGGCCCCCCCCAAACCAGACCACCACCTTTTTTTATAGTGAACTCCAGAGTATCATGGCTCACGCAGCATTTGCTTCCGCCTTGTTGATTCGCCAGGTTTGCTCGTTCGTTCTCTCGCCCGAGCTGTTGACGCTGGCGGCGTGCCCCCCCCTCCCCCGCCCGAATCCAAAGCTTGTTGTTTTTGAACTATTGTGCTTCCTTTTTTGTATCGACCCGGGCCCCGGCCCCAGCCCAGGAGTACATCACCAGTGGAGGGCCCTGCGCGCACTGCTTAAAAGAAGAGCAGCTTGCATAAACACAATCGGGAGCGGCCAAGAGGGGCGTGTCCAAGAGGAGGGGGGTGCAAATCATGACCGGCGGCATGTGCGCGGCCCCGGGGGGGGGGGCAGGGACGCAATGAAATCAGAAGAGGCGCCATGAAGTCTGGGGAAATATCATGGCCCCCACCATGATATCCACCCCCCCTGGTCATCACCCCCCTCTTTTCCGCCCCCGACACAAGACTTCCGCATACCCGCGCGACTCACCCTGTGAGGGGCGGCGCCAGAGGCGCCACCCAGGGGCCCGGTGCCGACCCACGAGATCCCGGGCGGACCTCCAAAGGCCTGTGCTCAACCCAACTTTTCCTTCTTCGACTGCTGGCCTCTTCAGAAGAAGGTGAGCGTCTTCTCATTCGCCGTGTCGACATTGAGCGACGAGGGGGGGGAGTGGGGGGGTCTGGCCCTGGACCTCTGCTTAGCGCGACTGTTTGCGACAGCGCGTGCTATGAGGGGGGACTCCACCTGCGGGAAAAAGACGCCTAAAACAACCAAGACCTACTCCAAGGGGGGGTGGGGGGTGGGTGCGAAGGACCGCGCCGACCGGCAAAGCAATGAGTAACAAAAACATCACTAGCTCGCAAATGTTTGAATTGAGCAGGGACCGATCGTCCCGGCAGTCCTGTAGGCCTAGCACGACATGTTCTTACAACCCAAGATTTTCTAATAACAAAACAATGTTCTTAGAACAAAAAGCCCGATTTGTTAAGACAAGACAGTCCCAGCCAGAAAGGTTCCAAGAACATTTCGTGCAGACCACAAAAGGTTCTTAGAACATAACATTGTTTGGTGGGCCCATAGGCGAGCCAGGACGCTTCGCCACTGCTTGACTGAGGCGCCCCGCCTTGTTCCCCGCGCACATGATCGCGGACACGCCGGCGTCGACGGCCGCAACAAACGGGGGGTAGTGGACCTGAGGGTGCACGGCTGCCGTGCTCTGCCAGCGCAGGCGTGCGCCCCTCGTCTGCTCGCGCTCCACTGCCCGGCCCCTCCCTGCCAGGCCTGGGCCCGGTGGGTCGCGCGAGTGCGACCTGCAAAAGGGTCTCTCCTCCTCTTCCTCCTCCTCCTCCTCCTCCTTCTCCCTCCTCCCTCCTCCCTCCTCCCTCCTCCTCCTCCTCCTCCTCCTCCTCCTCCTCCTCTTCCTGCTGCTGCTGCTCCTCCCTCTTCCTGCTGCTGCTGCTCCTCCTCCTCCTCCTCCTCCTCCTCCTCCTCCCCTCCCTCCCTCCTCCCCGCTCCTCCCTCCTCCTCCTCCTCCTCCTCCTCCTCCCTCCTCCTCCTCCTCCCTCCCCTCCTCTCCTCCCTCCTCCTCCTCCTCCTCTTCCTCCTCCCTTCCCTTCCTCCCTCCCTCCCTCCCTCCTCCTCTTCCTCCTCTCCCCTCCTCTCCTCCTCCTCCTCCTCCTCTCCTCTCTCCTGTTCCTCCTCCTCCTCCCCTCCTCTGCCTCCTCCTCCTCCTCCTCCTCCTCCTCCTCCTCCTCCTCTTCTCCGCTGCTCCGCTTCTTCGCTCCTGCCTCCTCGCCTTCCTCCTCCGTGTGAGCGCACGCGCGCGCACCAAGGTAGGCCTTGCAGTTGCAGGTTCGATCCGTGCACCTGGGCAAGCGCTCAGCTCGCAAGAGCACTGGGCGGTGGTGCGTCGCAAGCATGGGCCGTCGTCGAAATTTAGCTAAAGAGTGAAAGGACGCCGACCATGCCGCCTCATCGATCCTGGCCGGTCCAACCCATGACCCATGACTGGCGTCTTCGCCCTCTTGGCTTGACCAGGACGGCACGTGCACCGATCCTGGGCCCAGCACTGTCATTGCCAGGATCTTCAGCGCAGGCGCTCCGCTGTGTCTCCCGATGCAGGTGCTGCACAACTCGCTGGTGACAGGGGGACGCTCTTCCCAACGATGCCACGAGGGTTGGCGGGACAGAGGACGCGACAGTGCTTGCGACGATAGCTTCTAGGCCAACCAATTTCGCGCATCGCGCCCCGCGATGCGCGGCTATCTTCGCGCCCCTGGGGTGACCCGGTGGCTTACGGAGCCAACGGAGCCAACTCGCTGAAGGTGCGCCACGCAGGGCAGGCTCGGGGAAAGGGGCCCCAGCAAACAGAAGACAGTCTCTGCTCTCGAGTTCTGTCTGGCCCTCCGCCGGGAGCATGTGCATGTGCATGTGTCCCACCTCCCCCCCCTTCCTCCCCCTCTTCCCCCTCCTCCCCCTCTCCCTCGCCCCTCTTGTTTCTGTCGCGCTGCACACGTTGTCGCTTATGGGTGAATAAGAGATTGCCCACGCGGCGTTTAGCCGATCCTGCGCGAGATCATTCGTCTGCCCTCCAGGGGACCGCTCCGGCACCGGAGCTGGCATGCAGACCGCCTTGCCTTGCCTTGCCTCCGCCAGGAGAGCAAACGCACCTCAGAGGGTGGGAGGCCGCTGCGTTTATGGCTCAGGCAGACTACTGCTGGCTCGAGCGAGCTCGATGCCGACGAGGACCGCGGCGATGACGACGACCATCGCGACGAGTAAAAAGAAGGCGATGGCGACGGTGACGATGGCAGTGAGGGCAACGATGACGGCGATGATAACGACGTTGCTGACGGTGGTGCTGATGACGGCGATGATGAAGGGTAGTAGCCGCTGATGGACGCTGGCGGGCCACCCACGTAGAAATCTAAGAAGTCGTGGGGGTTTGGAGTGGCCCCTTGAGGGGACCTCAAAAGGCCAGCAAGAGGCCCAGAGAGACCTGCACGAGGCCCCAAGAGGCTTCCCAGAGGCGTCCCAGGAGACCCCGGATGCCTCTTTATCTGAAGGGGCCCCAGGACACACGAATAAATACACACAAATAAAAATATTCCCCATATTTTCCTATATTTTCTGGGTTTTTGTCTTCCCCCCCACTTCCCATATTTTCCCATATTTTCCTCGAAGTGGACGATTAATTGTGTCTGTGTGTTTCTTTCCCTCCTGATTATCATCATCCTGGGCCTGCCTGATCGCTGTTGGCCGCTCAGTCCAAGCGCGGACCGAGGCCGTTGGCGCCACCCGCACGCGGAGGACTAGTTACTACCTGTCGAGGCGTTGACCTTAAGGACCCCTAAATAAGGAAAGAGGCCCATTTTTTCGTAAGTTAAGCTTCGACTTCCCATCGAAAACCGAAGGGAAACCTGAGGCAAGGTGTGGAACAATGAAAGCACATCGAGCCCCTCCCCAACGAAAAGGGTTGCTCCTTCAGCGCCCCGACTGTACCAACTGTCTTGTTTTTTGTTGTGACCGGAGCTGGCGCAACAGGCAGAATCACTGGTTCCTGCGACCATCGGGGTGGGAGGAACGACGGAGATGAAGGGGCCCCAGGACACACAAATAAATACACACAAATAAAAATATTCCCCCATATTTTCTCATATTTTCTGGGTTTCTGTCTTCCCCCCCACTTCCCATATTTTCCTATATTTTCTGGGGAATCGAGGATCAATTGTGTCTGTGTGTTTTTTCCTCTCCTGAGGAGAGAGGGGGCGACGCGAGGAGGAGGAACTGGGCGAGGCACGCCGGGAGCGAGGATCGGATCGGACGAGAAGGGGGTTAGCAAAGGGGGGGGTTGGCGAATCGACTCGGGCAAGCTGGCTTCCCCGGCGCCTCCTGGCGCCAGAGGCGCCTCTGGCATCGAAGGAGGCGGCCGGCGGCGGGACCGACACCAGCTGCGTGCACCAGATGTCGTAACCTCCTCTTTCCTGACCCCCCCCCCTTTTTAGCCAGTCTCGAGGTTTTCCTTATCCCAGAGATTGACAAGCCGATCGTCAATGACAATCTCAGGGATGCATCCTCAGAAACTGAGAGAATCCTAAAAGATCGGCATCGCTATAAGGTGATGCCAAGCATATGGATAAAGATATGTTTCAGGCTGATACCTTTCGTCCGACCCAGAGGAAAGGCTGCGGTGGCTTCCTCCTCCGCTCTCCTTTCCTCCTCCGCTCCCCTTTCCTCCTCTCTCCAACCTGCCAACGACGCAACGGACCACGAATCCTGCCCACGCGTCCTCCCGCGAACCACATACGTCCACAGACTCCTCCTCCACCTCTTCCTCCTCCTCCTCGCTGGCTGGCAAGATGCACACGGCAGGTTTTGCCCGCGCGTCCTCCCAAGCAGTCTGCGAGTCCACCGCTGCGTCCATGCTGCTTTTCCCGCTCTCCTGGTTGGCCCGAGGCACGGACGAGTGAAGGACGGGAGCCGGGGAGCAGAATCAGATGGGGCGGGAGGAGGATGGCGAGAGGAACGAGGACGGCGGAGCCAGGGCCCCACGAAGAAAAAGGCCCCCCAGAGGCCGAAAACGATGAAACCTTGCGAATGTGACATGTTTTCGATTCGTTGGACCGCTGGGGGCGTTTTCCTTGTATTTTTGCGCCTGGGGCCTTCCAGGGCCTCTGGGCCTGGGGACCTCCGCGCGCGCGCTCGTCCCTGCGGCGGCGTGGCGGCAACCGGCCGCGCCCGGCGCTCGCAGAGTGCTGTGAGTTGGGTGGGCCGCGGCGACCTGAGGCAGGGCGCGGTCGGCCACGAAGGGCAGCCCTTCCTAGCGAATTGGGGCCTACGGCAGGCTCGTGTCGGGACGGCCAGGGCGTTGGCTCCTGACACCGCGCGGGTCGTTCCACCCTCAACGCTCGGCGGCTCTTCGACTGCCAGATCGTTCCACGTTGGCCGATTCTGGGCCACTGGCGGCGTTCAACCTTGAACGCCCGCGGCGGGGTCGCTGCCGCGTCGGCACGACACAAACCTACCGCAGATAGATGGCAGAAAGAGGAGCGGCCGCGGAGGGAGGCAGAAAAGGGAACCCCGCCCGCGTAAGAATCGTCATCCGCGGTGGCGTGGGCGGCCTGCACCCCGACAGACGCCCGACGCTCTGATCTTGCCCAACACGGAACCCCCATAATCGATGATCCTCAGCACGTGTGTTAGCGCCAACGTGTGCTGGTCCACCGAAGCCCTTCGATACGACGCAGGTGGTGTAGCGATGGCCGACGCAGGCCGAACGGAATAAACACACATTTGGCGAATGCGCGTCCTGAAGAACGTCGGCAAAATCGGGGACGCACTGACCTGGGTCAACGCAGTCCCGGGTCAGTCGGGCCGCGCAAGATCCCGCAGGATCCTGCAAGATCCTGCACCCAAGCCCGGGTCTGTGCTCCCAGGGTTGGCGTTCCGTCCAAGATGGCCTCGTCTCGGGGCGGCCCCAGGGCCCGGGTGAGGGCCGCCCAGGGACTGAAAAACGAGCGGGGGGCCCCAGAGACCGCTCCTGCCCCGCGAAGGCGAAGCCCTTGGCCACGGCCATCACCTCTGGGTGGGAATGGGGGCGGGGGGTCGAGGGTAGACGTGGGGTATGGGGGAGGAAGAAGAGGAGTGGAAAGAGGAGGAGGAGGAAGAGGAGGAAGCAGGAGGAGGAGGAGGAGGAGGAAGACAGGACAGGACATCCGCATAAAGGGGGTCAACGTCGAAACGCCCGCAAAGGAGCTGTGGGGTACGACTTGCCCCTGCGAGTGTAGTATGCCGCAAACCCAGACTTCTCATGGGGCCGGCAGGGGGCATACTCCGATGCTCAAAGGGGCGAGCTCCGAGGTGGCCCCGTAAGAGAGGCTCGCTACCTTGTGAGTGCGAGTCCCTACGGGTCAGTGCGGGGGGAGCGGCTGTTGGCCCTCTCGCGTGCCCATTCCGCGGGGGGCGCGCTGGGCGAGCAGGGCTCCCAAGCAGGGGGAGGACGACGACGCGACCTCACTCAACGACGCAGAGGATAGAGGGGGAGGGAGAGAATGCAGGAGGCCCCTGCGCGCCAAGCTTCTGTTCTGCCGGGGGACCTACTTGATATTATGCCTACATCCAGCTGTGCCCACGCTTCGAACCAGAGCCCCTCCCTCTCTAGACTCACTTCGCTTCCTGGACGTGCTGGTCGATGGCCGAACCATGCAATGTAGTGTCCGGCACAAATCCTGTGCTGCAGCACAAAACATCCAAATTCTCTGCAGTACTCAGAGTGCACCTCTGAAGTACCCCCTCCGCGGCCAGCCGTCTACCAGGCCGATGCAGCAGCGGCGTGGGGGGGGGGGGCGCAATCTTGAAGTCAGTCGCCGTGCGCCGCCGCGGTGTCATTCGCGGGGTCGTCCAGGGCCGCCCTGGTGCCCCTGCGCAGGAAGCGTTCGATGTGCCGTAGCAGGTCAGGGAGAAGCGCGCGGTTGTCTGCGTTGCAATGTAAAAGGCGCTGGCCATGGTGATCGGGCTGAAGACGCAGAACACGGCCAGCAACGGGCGCAGAGGGCCGAATAGCTGCGGGACAGCTAGCGGGGATAATGATAGCCACGCCCCCTGTCACCAGTGGGTGCAAAAGACGCGGAGGCCGGGGGGAAACTTCACCGGCAAAGCCTCGCAGCTGGATGGCATCTTGATGCAGCTCTTGCAAGCGGGCGACTCCATTGGAAATGTCCAGGAGTTTGTCATGCCGCGGCCTGCACTTGGCGTTCCCGGCGTGGCGCTGAAGGAGCGGCCTCGCGGTCCACGGCGCGAAAGAGGCCAGTAGCGACCCGGCGCGCTCGCTTCAAGAAATTGGCAGAGCGGGCTGGAGGCTCCATTCCGCCATGTCGGGGGGGGGGCAGCGATGGCGTTCGCCGCGACCGCGAGCTTCTGCATCGGGAGGCTGAGCTTCGCAGTGATGTTGTCCGCCCAGTGGGGCGACGACGAGGTGTTCCCAGGGTTCGGGCATGTCCTGAGGATCGGGCCCCGTCCCGCCATGACGCGGCCCCGATCCTTGTCGACGAACCGCCGCCTGGTCGAGTCGATCTGCTTGACGGCGTCGCGTATTTTGCGGGCCTGCACCTGCGCCCGAATCCGGCGCGGGTCCTTGCCGGGCCCCAAGTGGAGAGGTGTGATTTGACCATGTGCAGCAGTCGCCTCGAATCGCTTCCACTGGCCAGGGCCCAGTCGCTGCGAAGCCAAAACTCGAGGCGCGGCGGGCGCGCAAATTAAGCTGCGGCGCGCGTGCTCCGCAGCGGGCGCGGAGAAAATCTCGGGCGCGACCCCGACTTCGGCGATCCAGCCAAACATGATCTGCTTGACCGCGGCCAGAAGGGTGAGCCCCTGCGCCGCGGCGCGGGCGATGGTGGGGTCGGTGCCCCTTGGGGAACTTCGGGGCGGACTTGGCGACCGCGAGGAGGTCGCGAAACTTCCTGATCTCGGTGTGGGGGAAGGTGATGGAAGAGTCGCCGTCGTCAAAACGGGGCTCGGCAGCGCGCGCCAACGCGATGGGCCTGTCGATCTGCTCCTTAAGACGACGATGCTGACCATCGGTGCGCTTAGAAACCGCTTCGTCCACCATCTTGGTGATTTCGCGGACGCCCCCAGCGAGCTTCGAACCGCAGTCGCCGCGGGCCTCGAGCTGCGCTGCGACGGGGCTGACGGCGTCGTCGACCGCTCTTTAGATGGAGTCGAGCATGGGCTGCTTGTATTCCGCGAGGAGGCGGGTGGATTCCTCGCTGGCGAGGAGGCGGCAGTAATCGGGTTGGCCGGTCGTCATCCTCGTCTCAAATGTCCATCTGCTCGTCATCCACGCCAACTTCGCTGAGAAAAGGGGCAGGAACAGGGGGGGCGTAATCGGCGCAGCATCTGGGGCTTGCAGTGGGGGAGGGCCCGCGCCACCAGGTCCATTGACGCCGCGGTCGGACGCGACGCTGCGTGGTCTTGAGCCCAGGGGCGAGGCCAGCGCGCTTGGCGACCAGCGCGGGCATGGCGTTGGGCGAAGCATGAACGGGAAATACCTCCGTTTACCCGCGGCGCCCAGCGTGGGAGGCGCCGCGGGCTCGCAGAGGCGGGGGGGGGCTGCTCGCTGCGAGGATCGGGAGGTGGCAGGTCCTGTGGGTCTGGTCGCGGACTAGCGGCATCCACTCGTTCCCGCGTGGAACTCATCGCCTTGAACCACAATGGCTGCGGAGGAGGAGGAGGATCGAGGATCTATTGAGGGACGCGGATCCGATTAGAAGCAGGAGGAGGGGGGGCAGTGTAAACCCAAGACGCATGAACTATGTTGAAAGAGACCGCCCAAGTTCCCGCTTCATAGGTGCTTACAAGAATTCAACGTCGTTGCTGGAAGTGTCACATTGGAAGACAACCGTTTGAAAATCATCGATCGTACCAAAACGCAGCTCCTGGAACGTCAACGCCGCGGGTCATAATGACTGTTGCGTCTTGACAACCCTAAATAGTGCCAGGACACCATTCCGGGGACTTCGGCACCGCGAATACAAGTTACCGCTGCGTCCTCACAATGCTACATCGTGCCAGGGCGCCGTTCCTGGAAATTCGACCGCGCTAGATGGATAACCACATTTTGAAGAGGGGGGGCCTCCATCTTTGAAGCTGTTGCAACTTTTAACAACAATGAGCGCGGCGCGAAGACGAACGCAACATTTTGAACGCCACTCGCTCTTCACCGGTGAAACGGCTGCAAAATCGAAGAACGAATGCGCGCGCCGCCTCGGCGAGAGCCGCATTGTGAAAACCATTGCGCGCGGCGAGAAGGTGATGGCCGTACGTTGCAAACCCACTCGCTCTCCATCCGTACGACTGTCGCAATCTTTCATACGAATGTGCGCCGCGCTGCGGCGGGAGCCACATCTTGAAAACCTCCAGACCTCCACCCGTGCAGCGGATGCAAGCTCGGGGAACGCATGTGAGCAGCGTCAAGGCGAGAGCCACATTCTGAAAACCAGCCGCCCTCCATTCGTGAAGCCGTAAAAAAAAACTCACAGTTGCATATCAGATATGGCGAAGAGTCTCAAACGAACCAAACCCGCCCTCCCGACGTGTCTGGGGGTGCGGCAGGGTTTTTTTGTTTTTGAAAACAAAAAATGAGAAGGAAAGGGAGCAGACGGATGGGGGGTCAGTCGAGGATCGAAGATCGAACGTGAGGGGAACGAGGAGGAGGAGGAAATGGATGATGATGATGACGAGTGGGACGAGAAAAAGGACGAAGAGGGATAAAACAGACGGGGTGAACAAGGGCTTCGGCGAGTTTCCGGCGTTTTGCGGAAGTTCGTGAACGTATTGGAAAGGACATATGACAATGAAATAACTAAGAACACGACTTTGATGATGGTAATGACGGTGGCGATGGTGAGGATGAGGGTGATAATGATGTGGATGGGGAAGGTGACGATGATGATTATGCTGGTGACGATTTATAAACTTTTAGCGCGCCGAAGCCTGGGATGACCTAGAAAACAGCGAAGAGAGAGAAAGAGAGAGAGAGAGAGAGAGGAAATACAGAGAAAGAGGGAAAGAGAGAGAGAGAGAGAGAGAGAAAAGAGAGAAAGAGAGAGAGAGAGAGAGAGAGAGAGAAAGAAATATATAATGAAGAAAAAGGAAAGGCCGGCGCCGCCGCGGCGCCGCTAGTAGCCGAGGGCGGCCACGTTCGCGTCCGCGCGCAAGACGCCGACGAGAGCGCAGACGCGCTCAGCGGGCGCCCGCGCTGTCGTGCCACGGCGTCGGCCCCGCTGCCGCTGGCCGTAGCGCTGCGACGCCGCAGCGAGGTCCGCGAATGCGTTCGCTGCGCCTGCGCTGGGCCGCCCGCCCGACTCCGCGCTGATGCTGTGCCCGTCGGTGCCGCGGCGGACTTTCTTGCGCCAGTCACGCGCTACAGTCGGGACGTTGACCTAAGGAACCGTAAATAAGGAACGAGGCCCCTTTTTCCCATCAGTTAATGTTCGATTTCCCATCGAAAACCTACGGAAACCCTAAGGCAAACTGTGAAACAATCAAGGAACACGGAGCCCCTCCCCAACGAAGAGGGTTCCTTCTTCAGCGCCCCGACTGTATCGCCGCTGGCCCAGGCGACCCTGTACCCGGCGGGCAGCTCGCCGCCCAAGGGCGACTGCACGCTGACGCCGAGCCACCACTCCTGCGCGGTCGCTCTAAAAGAATCCGACTGCGAGGCTCATGACGGGCTCCTGGATCGACCCTTCCGCGTGCGCGTCGTAAAGTTCCCGCACCCGGCGTTCGACGTCTTCGAAGGCGCCGGCAGCCCACAGCTCGTCCTCGAGGCCGCGCAACGCCTGTGTGCGTCCGCAAGCGGGTGGCGCTGCGCGAGCAAGCCAGAGCATGCGCGGCGCGCCTGCCGAACGGATCATCGCAGTCTGGCGTGGCCTGATGATGCTGATGATGCTGCTGATGATGGTGATGATTATGATTATGATGATTATGATGATGATGGATTCTGATGATGATGATGATGATGATGATGATGATGATGGTGATGACCATGACAATGATCATGATAATGATGATGGTGCTGATGATGATAATGATGATAATGGTGATGATGACGATGCTGCTGCTGATGATGGTGATGACGACGAGTATGAGGTTAATGATGGCGAGGGGATCTAGTTTTCATATACTTTTTGTGTCTACGAGTGTTGCAGGGAGCTGCTGGCCGACAGAAAGGACCTATGCTTTCCCGATGTTTCCCCCCAGTACTTGCGCTTAGGGGTCCTTGCTTTCGGGGGCGGCCAAGAGGGGGGCGTCCAAGAGGGGGGGGGCGCAAATCATGGCAGGCGGCATGTGCGCGGCCCCGCGGGGGGGCCAGAGACGTAGTGAAATAAGAAGAGGCGCCGTGAGATCTGGGGAAATATCATGGCCCCCGCCATGATATCCCCCCCCTTGTCATCCGCCCCCCTCTTTGCCGCCCCCGAGGATCGTTCCCTCCGAACACACGGATGTTGCCATGTCCGGGGCAGCATCCGTGATGGTCCGGGGAGGGCCCAGCGTGCTCCCAACAAGAACCCCCCCAGAAGAAGGAGGCGGAGGAGGAGGAGGAGGAGGACGAGAAGGGAGGAGGGGACCCTCCTCCTCCTCCTCCTCCTTCTCCTCCTCCTCCTCCTCCTCCTCCTCTTCCTCTCTTTGCCGCCTCCGATCACCTGGCGAGCCTGCGCACTGCTGGATGGGGCCTGCCGGGGTCTCGCCCGCTGCGGTGTGTGGTCGCCCGTGGGCCGCCCGTGGGCCGCCTCGTGGCCGTGGCTCCCTCTTTGGGGCGCCTCGTGGCCGCCCCGTGCGTGCAGGGCAGGGTGCGCGCGCCGCACGGCTCGCACCGCGCAGCTCACGCCACACAGCTCACACCACCACTCGGGTCGGGCGAAAGGGGGGGGATAACAAAGGGGGGTTTGAGAATCAGCTCACGTAGCTGATTTTCCCGGCGCCTCCCGGCGCCGGAGGCGACTATGTATCGAGGAATGGGCCCCTCGGTGGGGCCGAAACCAGCTGCATGCAGCAAATTTCGTACCCCCCCCTTTCCCAATCCCTCCCTTTCGTCCGGCCCGAACCTCGCCTGCACCTCATTGGTGGAACAAGAAGTGACATAGACAGAAAAGCTCGGAGGTCCGCGCGGACTTCTCGGATCGGCGCTGGGGCCCCGTCCCTGGCGCGCTCCGCGCGCCGGGGGCGGCGCCGGAGGCGCCGCCGGGGGGCCCCAGCGCCGATCCGAGAAATCCGCGCGGACCTCCGAGTTTTTATGTCTATGCCACTTTTTGTTCCCCTACTCATAGCGTGCACCACGTGGCGTGCACCTCACAGCTTGCACGACCCACCTTGCACCAACTAGTTTGCACCGCATCGTTGACATCGCATCGCTTGCACCACAAACAATGCACCACATGGTTAGCTCACACATGCAGAAAGAAATAAGTCGCTGTTTGGGATCCACGCTGGCAAACATCCGTTTTACGGATTCTATGTCTAGTTGGTGGGATGGAGGGGTGGGGAGGCGATGGTGGTGCGGGGAGGCGAGGGGTGCAGGGAGGGGAAGGAGGGAGAATAAAGAGGAGGACGGGATACGAACTGGCTGGGATGAGAAGGAGCGGTAATGCAAAGGGGATGCGAGAGACACGAAAGGCAAATCTTGCGCCGTCCCGGGTAGACGGCCCGTCCCTGCATACATCTGCAACAAACAACTGAAGCCGCCAACATCACGGATGACGAAGAAGAAGAAGAAGAAGAAGCGCTCCACATCAATGGTCTCGGGCGACCCCGTGCCATTCAGTAGGCTCGCAGTGCACGCTAGATGGCCTCGCCCGTCTCCGCTGGCCCAAAGCCCTTTCTTACTTGCCGTCTGCCCTCGAGCACCCACCTATGGAATCCCTCGACGACTACGTGCCACCAGCCCAGGCGCTGTCATCACATGACCCAGGGACGTGCAGTCATCGTGCTACCATCAGGGACGCCAAATAAGGAGCGCAACCCCGTCCTTTTTTGTCCCGAAGGCGCCAAGGTGCACGAGGAGCGCCAGATAAACAACCGCGGAAGGACGCAAGGCACCACGAGCCCCTCCCGAACCCGAACTGTTCCTCCCCTCGGCGGCTCGACTGCACGGAGGACGACGAGGACGACCCGCGAGGGCATATCGCCCCCTGGCTCTGCACGCCGCGGATGTAGCGCGGAGCCAGGCGCGCGCCCAAGTGGGGGTCCTCTTCGCCGGGCGCCGGCCCGCCGCTGTGCAGTGCGGCGGCGGCGGCGGCGGCGACGAGCGGCGGCGACGGCAACGAACGGTGGCGACGATAGGGGCGAATAGCCCAGGGGCGGCCATGACACGTATTCGCCCGGGAGCCTCACCAAAGGCATGGACCATCGGCGCCCCTGGATACATGCATTGTTGGGTCGGGCATGTCCTCCCAAAGGCACAATTTTGAGAGACAAATCGAACAGATAGCCAACCGATTTGGACGCCCGAGATGGGTACGGACAAAAATTGGTACAATGCCCAACAACAAATGTTGTCCCAAACCAACAGCGGCCGCTGTTGGGCAGGCGGCCTTCTGTCTCGAATGGACACAGGCCGCGGCGGCGTGGACAGCGAGCCCTGTTCACAATGAACAGGAACCGCTCTTGGGCATCGTACCCACCCTTTCCGCACCCATTTCGGGCGTCCAGAGGACCGAGAAGCAGACGTGGTCAAGAAAGGGCACGACCAGTCGTCCCCAGACTGTTGTCTTACGATCCTCGAGTCTATCCCTCCTGGAGAGGGACGTGCCCGACTGGAGTGTGCGGCTCTCCCCTGGATGCATGTATTGTTAGGTCGGGCATGTCCTCCTAAAGGCAAAGTGCTGGAAGAAAGATAGAACATATAGCCAACCGAGAAGCAGACATGGTCAAGAAAGACCACGACCCGTCGTCCCCCGACTGCTTGTCCTACGATCCTCGAGTCTGTTCCTCCTGGAGAGGGAGTGCTCTCCAAGAGGAGGAGGAGGAGGAGGAGGAGGAGGAGGAGGAGGAGGAGGAGGAGGAGGAGGAGGAGTGTTCCTTTTCTTACTGCCCGACTGGAGTGTGCGGCTCTCCCCTGGGCCGTTCGCCCCCGTCGTCGCCCCCCGAGGTGAGCGGCGGCGGCGGCGGCGGTGACCGGCGACCGGCGCCACACGGCGCGAGGCCCCGGGGTCACTCCAGGGGCCCAGGGACACACCAGTGAATGCACACAAATCCCAGGATCCCCCCATATCTTCCCACATCTTCTGGATTTTTGTCCCCCTCCCCCCCCTTCCCATCTGTTCCCATACTTTCCTGGGGATCGAGGATTCATGGTGTCTGTGTGTTTTTTTCCCCTCCTGGGGCACGCGAGCCCGGCGGGCGGGAGGGCAGGCGGGGAGGCGTGAGGATTGGGTCGGGCATGTCCTCCCGGGGGGAAAAAGAATCGGGGGCCCCCAAACGGTGTTGTGACCCCACCGTGTGGTGAGTCGGTGGGGATTCGGGGTCACCGCCCGGTTTTGGGACGCGAGCCCTTCTCCGAGGATGTCTCGGGCGGCAAGGGCCTCCAAGGTCCCACAACCGTGCGGGGATGGACAGTGCGGTGAGGTCTTGGGGGAAGGTCACCGCACGGTCAGTCACCGCACCGTTTCGGGACTCCCAAACGAAAGGGGGGTATAGCAAAAGGCAGGGTATAGAATCAGCTCGCGTAGCTGATTTTCCCAGCGCCTCCCGGCGCCGGGAGGCGCCCATGTATCGAGGAATGGGCCCGGCGGCGGGGCCGAAGCCAGGCCCGATCCTCCTACAAGCGGATCTTGGATGAAAAATTAGCCCTAATCAAAAGATGGTCAAACACAGGCAGAAGAGCACGAAAAAACGTCCCAAGACTATCTTCTCACGATTCTTGCATATTCCTTCTGTAGAGGGACACGCCCGACTTAGCGTGAGGGGGGGAAAGTAGAAAATGGTTGAGGAGCGAAGATAAGATGGCGAGGGTGACGACGTCGGCGACGGCGATGAGGACGATGACGGCGGCGATCAATATAACCCTGACGATGATGATCGGGTCGAGAACGACGATGCTGACGACGATGACGACGGCAATGAGGATGACGACGATCTTGACGACGACGATGATGACGACGATACCGATGATGACGATGCAGCAGACTAATGATGACGATGATTATGAAAATGATGACTGGGCAAATTCTTGTCAGCGGTGTCGAGGGTGGACCGCAGCGGACATCAACATACGGCTGATCACGGCAGTCTGCGCACGTCTCATACAGGGTGACCTGCGCCATGACGATGATGTTGATATTGATGATGGTGCTGGTGGTGGATGATGATGATGATGATGATGATGATGATGAGGATGAAGGCGAGGATGAACATGAGGATGATGATGACGATGCTGCGAATGATGGTGCTGCTGCTACTCATGAAGACGCCAACAGCGATGATGCTGCTGCTGATGGTGATGACGATGATGATGCTGACGACGACGATGACGATGACGCTGACGCTGACGATGATGATGATGATGCTGATGATGAGTATGATGATGCTGCTGATGATGATGATGATGCTGATGATGATGCTGATGATGATGCTGATTATGATGATGATGATGATGATGATGATGACGACGATGACGATGACGACGACGACGACGACGTCGTTCACTCCGACCACGGAGAATGACGATGATCATGACCCCCTCGGATTCGAGGAAGCAGCGGCCCACACAACCTGGGCCGTGCGTCCACACCCTGGGGCCGAGCGGAACCCAACCCCGAGTCCTCGCGAAGGCCCAGCCCCCGGCGGAAGTAGCCCTACCCCCGAGGCACGGATGAAAATGGTAAAGGTGGAGGGTTTCTCCGAAGTGCTTAGGCGACCCCTCCTCCTCCTCTCCCCTCCTCCTTCTCCTCCTTCTCCTCCTTCTCCTCCTCTTCCTCCTCCTCCTCCTCTTCCTCCTCTTCCTCATCTTCCTCATCTTCCTCATCTTCCTCCTCCTCCTCCTCCTCCTCCTCCTCCTCCTCCTCCTCCTCCCCCTCCTCGCCCTCCCCTTCTCGGGTCGCCTACGGCCCCGGGGGGAACCGTCCAGGGCAAGGGGCCCGAACCACACCCGGGAGCGTCGGCCCTGCGGAAGATGCCCAATGTGACTCACCGCAGCCTCCTGGCGGACGGCCGCGGCAGCAGCAGGAATCCGCCCAGCCAGGCGAGAGAGGCCACGGCAATGGCCGCCGCCGACGGGCGCGTCCGGACGAAGTGGCGGGAACGAACGAGGTGGCCGCGAGGGCGCGCCCGGCCAGCGACGGCCCACTTTCAGGTCGGGCGTGTCCCCCTACAGGCGGATTTGGGACGAAAAATGCTGCAAAAATCGTCCCCAGATTATTTTGACTATTTTTGTTTTTTTGATTATTTTTGATTTTTGATTATTTTTTGATTATTTTTGATTGTTCTTCCTGTGGAGGGACGGGCCCGCCTTCAGCCCACGAGGGGGAGGCCGCCGCCACGCTGCATCGCCCCAGCGACGGGACACCTCTCGGGAGCCTCGCCCGAGGACGGCGGACGACGGCGCATCGCGCCCGCAGGCCGCCCCCGACACACACAGCGAACGGGGACCGGACGTCCGAGCGATGGCGAAGCAGGGCTCGAGGCGAACGGGGGGAGGAGGACTGGACTGGAACAGTCGCGAAGCGATGGGGAACGTCACCCTGCCGAACAAAACGAGACGACCTCGGCCTGGGCGGGGCTAACTCATGGGCCAAGTGCCCACGAGAAAACGAACCTCTTATCGGTGAGCACGCATGACACACAGGACGTAAACTCAGGGGCCACTTGCCCACGAGAAAACGAGCCTCTTATCAGCGAGTACGCATGACGCACAAGGCGCGAGAAGCAAAGCACAAGCGAATGAAATAGGAGGAGGAGGAGCAGGAGGAGGAGGAGGAGGAGGAGGAGGAGGAGGAGGCGCAGAACGAGGAGGCGCAGGACGAGGAGGCGCAGGAGGAGGAGGAGGAGGTAGATAGATAGAGCGGCCTTGGAGGCGGAGCAGTGCGTTCAGCCGCATGAATGTGCCCCCGCCGTCGCCGCTCAGAGCGGAACCTTCATTGTGATCGCGGCGCCACGCGCGTCGATCACTTGCCGAACGAGGCGTAGTCGAACGGCCATCCACTTTTTCTCATAGCCCAGCCTGCCACGCGGCCAGGTCGTCTTCGATGACTCCCGCTGGAGGCTTCCCCATCTTGACTGTGGCCCCCGCCTGGATCAGCGCCCTGTTGATGCTGTACTTGATGTGGGCCTGCTTCATCTGCTCCTCGCTGGCTTCCTCCTCCGCTTCGGGATCGGGCCACGGTTCTTGCTCGATGTAAGTAGTGAGCTTCGCCATGTAGTTGTCGTGGCGCGTGCTGAGCTTCAGGTAATGGACCTTGCTGAGCACGGTGGCTACGTTGACCTGGTCCTCGAACTTCCCGTGCTCGGCTGGAAGGGTCCTCATCTTGGCGCCCGCGTCCTCGGTGTGGAGGGTCGAGATAGGCGTGGGGCAGAGGTGGCCCTCTGCTGGGCCGTGCGCATGTCCCTTGCCCGCTTCCCTGCAATTCTCGGCGTAGATCTTCTTCAGTCTCATCGGGAAGGTCTCTGCGGGCGGCGGCCACTCTGGCACGGAGGCGCATATCTTGAAGTACATGAGCCGCTTGTCTACGCCGTAGAGGGTGCGCTTAATGTTGTCCCTGGCGTCCTCGTGCACCTGTCGGGTCTGCAGGTAGTGCTCGTTGGTGAAGGCGTATATGCTCTCCTTCAGGATGCGCTTCTCCTCGCTGAGGTTGATTGGCTGTACTTGAACTCCTTCAGGCTGTCCGTCTTGTGAAGTGTGGTCTGTCCGTTCTTGTAGCCTGGGTCGTGCTCTGGTGGCGCAGCTGTGGTTGCGGTTGCGCTTGCCGAAGTAGGTGCCTGCAGAAGGTCGTGACGGTCGATGCACTTCTGCGTGTTCGCGTCGTTGCCAAGCCTCGTAGGTGAGCTCTTCGACCGGGCGGCGCCTTTCGGCCTCGTGGCGTTTCTTCTGCTTCTGGAGGGCGCGCGAGAGGGCTTCGCTCTGGAACTCTTTGTCGAAGGCGGGGGCGGTGCCTATGATGTCCTCCCTGAACTGAGCGCGTTCTAGTAGGAGTCGTAGTTGTTCCTCCAGGAGCTCTTGATAGTTGTCGGGGTTACGCTGCTGGCCCTCGAGGGGGGGCTTGGCTGTCTCCTGCAATAGGCGGGTGATGAGCTCCCGATACTCGTCCGTGGTGTTGGCGCTGGCGAGGTCCTGCAGCTGCTCCTGGTACTGGCCGAAATTCGTCCCCCGCGCGGTGATGAAGTCCTTGCGGTACTTGCCCGTATGTAGTGCCTGCGCCATCTTGTCGTAGTCCCGAAATCTCCGCTGTGGCTCGGTGAACGCGTTAGGGGTGGTGATGTTGCCGGCTGCGATGAACGGGACGTGATAGCGCTTGAGGTAGTCGTTGATGGGCTAGAGTGCTTTGGCTGCGCGCCACCATACTCTGTAAGAGATAGGATGTACCCGTAGTCCTTGAGGTACTGCGATGTAGTCTGAGCGCGTGGCTTGTCCTTGTGCTCCGCCCGTGGGGCCTGCGTGCCAGGAAGTGTTCGGGATGTGCGTGCCGTGGACGTCGAGCATGTTGTGGAGTGATGCTGCAACTTCTCCTGTGATGCCCGTGGGGCCCGCGTCGCCGTGCACGTTGCGCGCGGTGGGGAGCCATCCGTCCTGGCCGTGATGGTCGTTCGGGTCGAGGCCGATGATGGGCATGCTGCTCGTGGGCGTAGCGTAGAGCTCCTTGCTGATCCACTTGAGCGTCTCGTAGATTGTCTTGGCCCACTCGTTATGCTGCCTGGCGGGGCCCGACCGCGGTGGCTGGTACGCGACGATGTAAGTCGAGTCGAGTGCTCCTCTTCGACTGTGTACTGCTCCTGCGCGGCCTTGTATGTTCGCTGGTGGGCTGGGCAGCTCTGTGATGCACTTGAGTCGCAACCAGTTGCTGACCGTAGTGGCGACCCCTGCGTGGCTGTAGGTGAGCCCCCCAGGAGAAGGTGCGGTGTGTGTACGTCTGCAGCTGGTCGACGGCGCTGGCGGTGTCGTTCTGCCTCCATCTCGTCGCTGGCCCTGTGACGCCGTCCACAGCGCTGAACTGGCGCGATATCTCCATGCTGAATGGCGCCACCGTGGTGAGTGGGTACACGGCCCATCGCATGAATGTCGTCCAGAAGATCACGAGGGAAGAAATATGGATGGCCAGCCGCGCTGGCATGACATGAAGGTGCCCTGAGGGCGGAAACTGCTCTGCGTGGGGTGCCTGCTGGGCCGCGAAGGATGTGGCTAGAGCAGGAAACGGCGGCTGAGGAGGAGGAGGAGGAGGAGGAGGAGGAGGAGGAGGAGGAGGAGGAGGAGGGGGAGGAGGACCTGCCCGTCTGGCAGCGCCCACTGGGTGTGTAGAAGGCTGGGCCAGCTCCCGAGGTGACCTCGCCCAGCGCCGCCGCCGCGGCGGCCGTGGCTCGGAGCTCCGCCGCGCCACGAGCTCTGGCTTTGTCGGCCAGCGAGGCGCTGCCAGAGGCTGTCTCGGAGCAGAGCAAGGTGATAGTATGATCATGCTGATGATGCAGGGGGGGAGGAAGAGGAGGATGAGGATTAGGAGGAGGCGGAGGAGGAGAGTTGGGAGGAGGCGGAGTAGGGGGAGAACGAGGAAGAGGCAGAGGAGGAGGAGGAGGGAGGGGAGGAGGCAGAGGAGGAGACTGAGGAAGGAGGGGAAGCAGGGGAGAAAGAGGAGGATGAGGAGGGAAGGGGGAGCAATTCCCAAACGCCCCCCTGCGACTGCACTGGAGTCTGCACTGGGACCTTTCCTTGCCGGACAGGAAGCCGAAATCGAACCGGATCTGCTGCGCCAACACGCACAACAGAGCTCATGCAGGCATCGGGCCGCATCGCATCGTCGGAGCAGCTGGAAGTCGAACGGACCCAGCCAGCCAGAGTCGTTACCGAATCGGATCGAGATCTCGATCCTGTCTGGCCCCGAGGTCCGACGTTGCGAGAAAATGTCCACATCGCGAACAATCGCGACGGGAGCCCTGGACTCCATCTTTTATGCAGCACTTTTCGAGCCAGATCGACCTGTGATGGTCCTTTTCGGGCCCGAAGCTGGGCGAAAAAAAAACCCGGCTCGACCAAAAACGAGACGCCAGGATCTCAGGCAGAGGCCTCCCAAATGGGGTCCGAGTAGATGGGATCGGAGGATCGCGCCGCATCACCAATGCATCGCCGACGCATCCCCGATGCATCGCCGATCCATCGGCGACGTCGGCGATGCACTGGCGCGACGCTGGCGTGGAGAAAATCGGGCTCCGCATCGGGTTGCATCCCCGATGCATCGGCGATGCGGCGCGATCTGCCGACCCCATCTACAGTCAAAACGTATATTACGGACGCGTGGTAAGGACGCAAGACCCTTGGAGGCTGAAGTTGGGATTTTTTTGGGCGGCGGCGACCAGTGAAAACGGCAAAGGACGGGCCACAGAGACAAGGACGCAAGGGTATCCTAGATGAAGGCGCGCGTCCTTACTAGGCGCGTTGACTCTACTCGGAGCCCATGGGGGGGTGTGGTTTGCAGAGGGCGGGGCTTGCAGCCCGCGCCTGGGGGGGGGGCGTGCGAGGACCTACCTCCTCCTCCTCCTCCTCCTCCTCCTCCTCCTCGCACCCCGAGGAGGCACCACGAGGGCGACGTGGTGCCCCCCAAGCTCGGGGTCACGATGGGGGCGGATAGCCCAAATCCAGGGGCGCCGATGGTCCATGCCTTCGGCGAGGCTCCCGGGCGCATGCGTGTGATCTCCGCCCCCGGGCCACTCGCCCCTGCCGTCGCCTCCGACACGCCCAAACGGCGTCGATCGCAGACCACACCCCGGTGCAACCACAGCCTCTGCAATCGCCGACCATAGATCAGCGGTCAGGGCCCCGTAGACCCGGACACGCTGGACCCGGACACCCAACATCCCTCGAAACCAATTTTCCCAAACGGCGGCACGAACAAAAAAACTGCACTGCAGCATTCCCATAATAAGCCTGGACACAGGTCCTAGAAGCCTGCAAGACCCCCCTAAATCAAGGCACAAACCCGAATCCCGCGATGCAACAAACAAAAAATGCACGGGTGATGGAATACGTGACTTTGCAGGAGAGGGTCTCCTTTCTGTGGTCTTCCGTGTCCTGGTTTATCTGTGCCCTGGTCACAGGCCGGAAGGAAGAGGAGGCGGAGGAGGCGGAGGAGGACGACGGAGGCGTGCTCGCATCCTTCGGCGCGAGCGTAAGTAAGGAGGAGGAGGAGGAGGAGGAGGAGGAGGAGGAGGAGGAGGAGGAGGATGGATGGGATGGAGGGAGGGAGGGATGGAGGGAGGGAGGAGGAGGGAGGGAGGGGAGGGAGGGAGGGAGGGAGGGAGGGAGGGTGGGAGGAGGGAGGAGGAGGGAGGGAGGGAGGGAGGGAGGAGGAGGAGGAGGAGGAGGAGGAGGAGGAGGAGGAGGAGGTGGAGGGGGAGGGAGGGAGGGGAGGGAGGGAGGGAGGAGGAGGGAGGGAGGGAGGAGGGAGGGAGGGAGGGGTGGAGCTCTCCTCGCCGGGCAGGAAGTCGAAATTCCGGCCCCCCCGCGGGCTGCGCACCACCTCGGCAGCGCCGCGCGCCACCCGGGCCGTCGGGGGGGGGCCCACGGCGCCGCGTACCCTTCGGTCGGGCCTGTCCCCCTCCTCCTCTTCCTTCTCCTCCTTCTCCTCCTCCTCCTCCTCCTCTTCCTCCTCCTCCTCCTCCTCCTCCGTCATCCTCTCCTCCTCAGAAGAAGGGGGACCCTGGACGAAAAATGAAAAACAGTTCAAAAATGTCAAAGATAGTCAAGCAATCGTCCCGGACTATTCTCTGGACCCTTGCTGAAGATTCCCCCTGTAGAGGGACAGGCCCGATCTTAAGCGTACCCCGGGGCCGCCTCGGGCGCCCAGTCGGGGGGGCGCCGCACGAGGAGGCGCGCAATCGCGCGAGCGGCAGCGCCCTGCGCAGACCGCCTGCGCATTGGTGAGCGTTTTTTTCTTCGGCGTTTCGACATGGAGCGAGGAGGAGGAGGAGGAGGAGGAGGAGGAGGAGGAGGAGGAGGAGGAGGAAGAGGAAGAGGAAGAGGAAGAGGAGGAGGAGGGGGAGGAGGAGGAGGAGGAGGAGGAGGAGGAGGAGGAGGAGGAGGAGGAGAAGGAGGGTGTGTGCGTCTGGCTCTGGACCTCTGCTCAGTGCGGCTGTTTGCAACAACAGCGCGTCCCGTGGGGGAGGGACTCCACCTGCTCGAAACAGGCACCAAAAAACAGCCAAGATCTACTCCGTGGGAGGGGAAGGGAGGGGGGGTTTGGGGGCCCGCGCCGATCGGCAACATAAATAATTATCCCAGTGCGACCCTACCTAGGAGTTGGAGCCCCTAGGAAAGCCGCATTAGTAGTAACAGTAAAGCTAAGCTAAAGCTAAGCTGAAGCTAAGCTAAAGCTAAGCTAAAGCTAAGCTAAAGCTAAGCTAAAGCTAAGCTGAAGCTAAGCTAAAGCTAAGCTAAAGCTAAAGCTAAGCTAATGCTAAGCTAACACTAAGCTAAAACTGAGCTAACGCTACGCTGAAGCTAAGCTAAAGCTAAGCCAAAGCTAAGCTAAAGCTAAGCTCAAGCTAAAGCTAAAGCTAAGCTAAAGCTAAGCTAGATCTAAAGCTAAGCTAAAGCTAAGCTCAAGCTAAACGAAAGCTAAGCTAACGCTAAGCTAAGGCTAAGCTAAAGCTAAGCTGAAGCTAAGCTAAAGCTAAGCTGATGCTAAGATAAAGCTAAGATAAAGCTAATATAAATCTAATATAAAGCTAAGCTAAAGCTAATATAAAGCTAAGCTAAAGCTAAGCTAAAGCTAAGCTAAAGCTAAGCTAAAGCTAAGCTAACGCTAAGCTAACGCTAAGCTAAAACTAAGCTAACACTAAGCTAACGCTAAGCCAACACTAAGCTAAATCTAAGCTAACGCTAGGCTAAATCTAAGCTAAAGCTAAGCTAAAGCTAATCTGAAGCTAAGCTAAAGCTAAGCTAAAGCTAAGCTAAAGCTAAGCTAAAGCTAAGCTAAAGCTAAATCTAAGATACAGCTAAGCTAAAGCTAAAGCTAAGCTAAAACTAAGCTACAGCTAAGCTCAAGCTAAGCTAAAGCTAAGCTAAAGCTAAGCTGAAGCTAAGCTGAAACTAAGCTAAAGCTAAGCTAAAGCTAGGCTAAGGCTAAGCTAAAGCTAAGCTGAAGCTAAACTACAGCTAAGCTGAAGCTAAACTAAAGCTAAGCTAAAGCTAAGTTCAAGCTAAGCTAAAGCTAAGCTAAAGCTAAGCTAAAACTAAGCTAAAGCTAAGCTAAAGCTAATTTGAAGCTAAGCTAAAGCTAAGCTAAAGCTAAGCTAAAGCTAAGCTAACACTAAGCTAAATCTAAGCTAACACTAAGCTGAAACTAAGCTAAAGCTAAGCTAAAGCTAAGCTAAAGCTAAGCTAACACTAAGCTGAAGCTAAGCTAAAGCTAAGCTAAAGCTAAGCCAAAGCTAAAGCTAAAGCTAAAGCTAAGCTAAAGCTAAAGCTAAGGCTAAAGCTCCCAGGGGACTGGGGGAACCGCGGGGCGGGGACTGGGGGAACCGCCCGGGGCGTATAGCACTGCCCGGCCCCTTTGGACAAAGAAAGTAAGAACCCTTCTAGGCAGAGCCTAGGTAGGGAATAAAAACGGCCACCTGTCAGAAGCAACCAAAACGTTACTCTTTTTGTGGCTGCTCGTGGTTTTCGGGCTCCGAGAAGCCCTCGTGTTCAGTCCCGGGGGCCGGCAGCAGACGGCTCAGGATGAGAAACTGGCCCCCGGGGAGAGGGTCGGGACTTCTGGGGACCCAGTAATGAACCAAAGTCAAGAGGTCGGGTCTCTGGGCCTTTCTCTCCCGGCCGAGGCTGCGAGGACAGAGGCTCTGCTGGACGACCGTGGCCTTTTTGAACCTCCTGGGAGCATCGCCACGGCTGGGTTCCCCCCCCGAAGTTCTGGTCGGAATGCACCGGAAGCAGATCCAGGGGACGATCTTTCAGGGAAGACCATCCGATCTGGGCGTGTCGCAACAACAACGAGCCACGACGGCTGGCTTGTCTCCGTGTTTTTCGGCTTCTGTGGAAACCGTTTCCTGGGCCCTGGGGCCGTCAACAAAAAGGCTCTGAGCGGGAGCCATAGACATCCGAAGCCATTGCTCAAAAAAGTGTCTCTGGAGATCCTTTTCCTCTCCCCGAGGCCAGGTTCTTCTCCAAATAGGCTTTCCTACAAGAGTCCTGTCCTACTGCCTAGAAAACTGGCCCCCTTGTACCTCCCTCCTTATTTTGCCCCTGCACGCGTCCTTTGCTGCGCATGGCTTCCTGTGTTGTGCATGGCTTCCTCTGCTAACGTCCTCTGTTGCGCATGGCCTCCTCTGCTATCCCCATAGCTTCCCCTGTTTCCGCAGAACAAAATGGAGTATAGTAGAGTAGAGCAGAGGAGAGGTAAAGCAGGAGTCGAATATATTATGATATAGTCGTTAGGGTAGGGTCGAGTAGGGTAAATGGTATACTGTATTCGGATATAACATAGTAGAACATAACATACCATACAAAAACACACCATCGTATTTGAGTCGATTATCGAGTAGGAGTAGAGTAGAGTAGAACACATTGGGATATCATATAGGACAGAAGAGTCTAGTAGAGTATATTCAACTAGGATCGAATATGCTAGGGTAGATCTGACCATGTTATACCAGGAGAGATGGTAGAGAAGAGTCGGGTATCATAGAGTAGGCTCGAGCAGAGGAGAGTAGAGGTGAGCACATTCGAATCGAGTAGACTACGAGTAGAGTAGGAGTATGAATAATCGAGTCAGCCAGGTCGAGCGAGTCAGAGGGCCCCGCCTATTCCCACACTCCCTCCCACAACACATGAATCACGTGTGGCCCAACTTGACATTGGAGCTGGAACGCGTCCCCACCTCGCAGACAGAAGGCGCTCGCGCACGGCCCCGGCTCCGACGATCAGAAAGGGAAAGCTACGCGTAGGGGCGGGGCAGGCAGAGCTTCCCCTAGTCGCGGCGACATCGAGGCCTGCGCCGCCCTGGCACAACGCCGCCACTTTCGCTCACAAATTGCGCGGCGCCTGGGCGAGGACGGCACTTCGTCCGCTCTCGCGCGGCCGCGCCGCCGCCGCCGCTCGCACGCGACTCGGCGCACGAGAGCCGTGCGCCGCGCCCGCGCGGGACACCACTTCCGAGCGGAGTGCGCAGGGAACCCGGGCGAGGGCGGCAAGCCGAGGGAGGAGGGAGGAGGGAGGGGAGGGAGGAGGGAGGAGGGAGGGAGGGAGGAGGGAGGGAGGAGGGAGGAGGGAGGAGGGAGGAGGGAGGGGAGGAGGGCCCATCCGCGCGGGTCCTCCCAAACTGGCGAGCGACAGATGTGCGCCGCGTCGAGAGGCAAACTCTGGCCCGCTCGCGCGTCGACGCGGTGGCGTGCGGAACGGGTGCGCCGCGCCCCAGCGGGAGCTCCATCCTCTGGGGATAGGAGCGCGGCGCCGAGACGAGAGCGGCATTCTGGCCTTTCGCGCGGGAGGCGCGCCCCGTCCCATTACCGCCACGCATTGTGCAACATGAGCGGCGTGGCGTCCATGCTGGGATGCACACCGCCGGCGTTGTATGGTTTTCCCCAGCCCTCCCGTGCTGGGTTCTGGTTTTGAAAAAAAGCACTGTGGTATCCTCTCCTCTCTTGCTACTCCTGCGCTGCTCCCTGTGTGGCTGCGAACTGCGCAACTGTCGCTACCGTTGTGGGCTCGGGCTCCTGGGAAGCACGGCTGAATGGCGGAGTACGCAGGTCCAGCCGCGACCTCGCTGCTCCCTGTGCGGCTGCGAGCTGCGCAACTCTCGCAGCTCCATGAACTGGATTCCCGGGTTCCCAAGTCAGGGTTCCCAAATTCCTGGGTTCCCGGTTCGGGGCCGATTTCGGTGGGCGGCGGGGTTCCCGGGCTCCCGGGTTCTTGGTCGATCTTCTTATCGATCGGTCTCACCATCGATCTCTCACTATCGATCTCACAATCGATCTCACTATCGATCTTACTATAGACCGCACGAGTGATCTCACGATGGATCTCACTATCGATCTCTACTGAATTGACTTCACTATCGGTCTCACGATCGACCTTACCATCGTCCTCACTATCGACTCCACGATCGATCTCACAATCGACCTCGATACCCATACCACCAATTGTCAGACCATCCACTGATTGGGGCTTTTCTCTGGTGCAAGACATCCCCTGTGGCCCAGATGGTCAAAGTCACAGATCCACCATCAGAGGAGGAGGAGGAGAGGAGGACAGACGAGGAGGAGAGGAGGAGAGACTGACAACGGAGGAGGAGGAGAGGAGGAGAGGAGGAGGAGGAGGAGGAGAGGAGGACAGACGAGGAGGAGAGGAGGAGAGGAGGACAGACGAGGAGGAGAGGGGACACGGGAGGGGGGGACGGCGAGGCAGACGAGGAGGAGAGGAGGACAGACGGACGACACGCGAGCTCACAGGTCCGGCGCGGAGACCACGAGGCGGCAGCCGCCGCCAAGCCGGTGTTCGGTCAGCGCGGCAGCATCCGAACTGACAACTTCTTTGATCCACGGGTCGAGAGCGCACCTCTTCCGGTCGAAGCTAAGCGGGCCGCGCACAGCTCTAACTAACAGGGGGGGAAGGCAGAAGGAGGGTCCTCACGTCAAGGCCAAGAGGGGGCAAAGCCCCGGAATCAGGCGGTGCCGAAGACGATCCGAACTGAAAACGAGTACAAAAAGGATTCTGCGCTGGGCATCCTCGCGGCGCAGATGGGAGACTGACCACGACGGGCGTCGATGTCAGTGCTTTCATCCGTACATTGGAACTGACGCCTGCCCAGCACGAGAATCATGCCATGATGCGCTTGGGTCAAGATGCATGCTGGGAGCTCTGGACTCTCCAGAAGCTCTCGGGTGTTCGCACTGGGCCGTGCGAGACAACAGGGACTACTGGAAATGTTCGATCGTATCATTAACATGACTTCCAGCTCCTCTGACAAAACACGTTGCCGTGTCCTGGTTCCAACTTGTCGTTCCATCTTAAGATCGGGCCGTACTTCTCAGTTTCACGCCGTCGCGTCAGCAACAGAACCACAACGGGCTGCTCACTGAATAGCTGCAGCATAACAGCGCCACGCTACATTTCAACGGCGATACTTGGCAACGGCATGGGCCTGTAGCCTCTCAACCAAAGCGCGCAATCTCCGTCGGTGGGGTGTGTGTGGGGTGGACATTCGCTAAACCGTCCTCAACAACAAAAAAACACCAAAAACATGGCGACAAATATTCGCTGGCGATAATTCCGTCAACCTGAATAAGAGAAACGAGAATTCTATCCGGATTCGATGAAGCAAACGAAAAAGAATGTACGAACCATAATGTGAACTTGGGCTGTTCAATGCCGTGTGGAAGCCGGGTTCCAAGATATTTCAAGATCCGCCAAAGGTTGAACCAACATACGCAATGTAACGCACTAGACTCATAAACCGTTGGGACCTCGTGTTACGGTGCTGCGGGTTTGCGTGTGGCGACCCAGTGCCTGAATAACAAGGAACAAGTTCAGCTGCATTCAGCCGTGCATGGGCCTGTGAGCTGCCGCTCGATTGTCTGTGACCCAAGCGCTGTAACAGAAGCATTATTCATTGTCCTACCTGCGGTTGGTCTACGAGATCAGCGGCCACGTAGAGCCACCGGGGTAAGTGGGGGAGATCACTGCAGCGTGGTGCACCCAGCACTTGGCAACTTCGGCAGCCCCCTGGAGGAGAGGGCGGAGGAATACCTTTTCCCACTCGGAAGAGGCCCCTCTGCCAAACCGCCAGCCTTCTGGCTGCCTCGACCTGCAAGCACAGGATAAGTTGGTAATCCCCAAACGTGGTGGTGACAATACCTGGCGGTGACTCTCGGGCGATTTGGTGTCACCACCCGGTTTGGGGACTCATGCGCTTGTTCGAGGATGTCCCGAACGCTGGTGGGTCCAGGAGTCACAAAGACCTGGCGGTGAGCCGCCCGTGTCCCCCAAACCCGAGGGTGACCTTTTGGGGATTCCAGGTCGCCACCTCTGCTATCTCACCACCTGGTCTGGGGGCTCCCAGAGATCACTCTGAACTTACGGAGCTCCGCGCGGCTTTCCTCGCATCGGCGCGCTGGGCCCCGCTCCCCCTCGGCGCGCCCCTCGCGGCGGGGGCGGCGCCAGCCGCAAGCCGCCGTGGGGGGCCCAGCGCCGGTCCAAGGGCTCGCCATCGCTCAGACGTCCATTTCCTGTGTGTTTTTCGTGTGTTTTTCTCGGGTCGGGCGAAAGGGGGGGATAACAAAGGGGGGGGTTGGGAATCAGCTCACGTCGCTGATTTTCCCGGCGCTTCCCAGCGCCGGAGGCGGCTATGTATCGAGGAATGGGCCCCTCGGAGAGGCCGAAACCAGCTGCATGCAGCCAATTTCGTAACCCCCCCTTTCCCAATCCCCCCCTTTTCGCCCGGCCCGATTTTCGAAAGCGAGCCAGGATGCTCCACAGGGATCCTCGCAGAGGACATCAATGCGCACGCCCGCGCGATGCCAAGAGGAATCCCGCGCGGCGCTCCGAACATTCATGCGCATGCCCCTCGTTTTCTTCTTCGGCCGTGGCCGCCGCCGCCGCCGCCGCCGTCGTCGTCGTCGGGCCGGGCGCGCGGCGTTCAGGTCGGGCCCCAGGAGCGCGTTGGCGCCCTTGCCGCGGAACTCGCGCCCGACCGCCTGGCCTATCCGGGGCAGGGGAGCCCAGAATCGAATCGCTAAGTCGGATCGGCGATCGAAATGAATCGCATCGGCGGAAATCGGCAGCCGAGCCGGGAGAAGTCGAATCGGTAGACATCGGCAGGCTAGTAGGCCTCCAGCGGGAAAAATCGGATCCCAGCTCGGAACCCGAAGTCGTAAATCGAATCGGACTAATCGGAATCCATCGAAATCGAAGATCGAATCGAATCGGAGGAATCGAAACGAGCCCTGCTGGGGGGCCGAGTTGGGGGTGCCGTCGGCCGTCCACGAAGGGCGACAGCGGGGCCACAAGTGGCAAAGCATGGGGCCACGAAGGGCGCGAACGAGCGGGGGCCACGAAGGGCAGATCATGCGGGGCCACAGAGGGCAGCGACGGGGCCACTGTGGGCAGCAACGGAGCCACGCAGGACAACGAGGTCGCCACAAAGGACGACAGCAGGGCCACGAAGGGCAAGAAACAACACACATGTGGGGAACAAAAACACAGTGGGGGAAAACACACAGTGGGGAAACAACACACACAGTGTGTGTGTGTGTTGTGTTTTTTCCCCACAGTGTGTGTGTGTGTGTGTGTGTGTGTGTGTTGTGTGTTTTTTCCCCACTGTGTGTTTTTTTTGTGTGTGTGTGTGTGTGTGTGTGTGTGTTTTTTCGCCGCCGTCGCCGCCGCGCCGCCGTGCAGAGTCGCCGCGCTGCCGTGCGGGAAAGAGGCGGGGGAGCTCCTGCTGGCCACGGCGAGCGCCGGGGCCGCGAACGGGGTCCCCTTACCCAGGCTTCTTCAGGTCGGGCCTGCCCCCCCCAGTTTTTTTTGATTCGCGGGTCGAGAGCGCACCTCTTCTGGTCGAAGCTAAGCGGGCCGCGCGAAGCTTGAATTAACAAAGAGGGGGGGAGAGAAGTTGCCCCCCCCCCCACAGGCGGGGGTCGAAAATTTTACAAGCAGTCAAAACAAATGCCCCCAGCACTGGCAGACAAAAGCTCACAAGACATCGTCCCCAGGCTATTTTTTTGTGCTTGACTATTCTTGAGCATGCCCCCATGTAGAGGGACAGGCCCGACCTAAACCCGGACCTGAAGGGACGGCCCGAAGACCAGAGCCCCATCCTGAGCCCGAAAGCCAGGGCCCCATCCCGAGCCCAGAGTGGTCCTTGCCTTAGCGTCTTGGCCGCAGTTGCTGCCGTCGCCGTCGCCGTAGTCGAGTGGTCGTCTTTCTGTATCGTCGTCGTGGCGGTGGTGGTTGCCGTCGTGGTGGTCGTTGGCGCCATCGTCGTGGTGGTGGTGGTTGTCGTGCTCGTCGTGATCTGTGGTGGTCGCCGTGGTCATGAGGAGGATCGAGGACCGAGGCTCGAGGATGATCCAGGATCGAGTCGAAACGCGACCACACGAACGCGAGTCAAGAACACGAGCCCCCTGGCCGAATGCCCAGCACTCCATGGAGGTACCCCAGGCGAAGAGCATTCCGAGGTGGAGAGCCCAAGCACGAAAAGCAGGGGCTATTCTGAATCCTTGTGCCAGTTGAATTCGAGGATGGGGAGCAGGGGGGATGACCGAGGCAAAGGAGGGCGAGGTCCCGCGGCGGCGGGCCGACGCTCTCGACCAGCTCCTCGTCCCACGTGGCCGCCAGCGCGAGCATGCTGGGCCACTGGGTGGTGGTGCCCTCCTCGCCGGGGCCTCGCGGGCGGCGGCGACAGGCCGCGCCGCAGCGCTGGCGCGGAGGGAGAACGTTGGAGGAGGGAGGAGGGAGGGGGAGGAGGAGGAGGAGGAGGAGGAGGAGGAGGAGGAGGAGGATGAGAGGAGGGGGAGGAGGAGGAGGAGAGAGAGGGGGAGCCGGCTCAGGGGGGGAAGCATCGAGCTGGAACCGGCGACGCATCGCCGATGGATCGGCGACAGGCCCCCGATCGCACATCCGCGTAGTCATCGTCGTCGGGCGTCGTCGGCGCCCCGCAGCCGCGGCGGGGGCGCGCGCGGGGGACGCCGCCGACCTGTTAGAGAGTCGGCCCCCGGGGAGCCAGCCCGCGGGCCTCCCGGGGGGGGGGGGGGCGGAGTCCGGGAGAAAAAAAGAAACGCCCCGCTGGAAGCGCCGGATAGCTGGGGAGGAGTGGTACCCTCGTGGGCTTCGCTCCTCCTCCTCCTCCTCCTCCTCCTCCTGTTCCTCTTCCTCTTCCTCTTCCTCATCCTCCTCCTGTGCCTCTTCTTCTTCCTCCTCCTCCTCCTCCACAATTACTCAATATGAAAATACTCTCCCTCTTCCCCTGATGGCGTCCGGGTGATGGCCGCGCATTCTCCGCGTACTGTTTTTTTTGCACACAAGATGCCCGGGAAATCCCGGGCAACGACTCTCGCTGAGGCGCCGGCGTCATTTTCGGGCCGAACGCCCCCCGCGTATTGTCTTTTTGCACACAGGATTCCCGGGGAACGGGTTTTCGCCTGCGTTTTTTTTTTTTTTTTTTTTTTTTTTTTTTTTTTTTTTTTTTTTTTTTTTTTTTTTTTTTTTTTTTTTTTTTTTAAAAAAAAATGATGCTCTCGCTTAGGCGCCGGCCTCATTTCTGCTCCCGAATCGTTCCGAATCGTGCTCCCGCTGCAGCGTGGGCCTCATTTTCGGATCGGTGTTTAGCCTCCGTCGTTCAGGATGGCGTTCTCGCCCCAGCGCGGGCCTCTTTCTCGCGCGCCCATCCGCCCGCCACCACCGCGCCGCACCACCACCACCACCACCACCACCACCACCACCACCACCACCACCACCACCACCACCACCACCACCACACACCACCACCACCACCATCGCAACCACCACCAGCACCAGCACACCACCAGCACCACCACCAGCACGAGCACCAGCACCAACACCACCACCAGCACCACCACACCACCACACAACCACGCACACACGCACGCACGCACGCACGCGCACCACCACCCACTACGCACGCGCGCGCGGAGCCACAGGTCCGCTACGACACGCGTCCGCGGATAGAGAAAATCAGCGCCATGGTAAGGGATGGGAGGGAGGGGTAGGACGTCAGATATGACGCGAGCGCACCTAGCTTGTCCCCCTCCCCCTCCCCCTCCTCCTCCTCCTCGTCCTCCTCCTCCTCCTCCTCCTCCTCCTCCTCCCCATCCTCCTCCTCCTCCTTCTCCTCCTTCTCCTCCTCCTCTGCCTATGTGCGCCCAGGTCCCGAGCAGGCCGGGCCTCCCATCGGGCCCCCGTCGGCGACGAGCGGGCGCTTAGGGGCCGAGGCGCTCCCCCTTCACGGAGCCTATCCTTAGGCAAGGCGTGCCCCCCTACAGGCGGATGGTGGAAGAAAGCACTCAGCAGGTATCTAGAACGAGTCGAAAAAAAACAGCAAAATAGTCCCCAGACAGTTTTTTTGACTCTTTTCGAATAGCTCTCCTGCAAAGGGACATGTCCGACTTAATCCTATCCTTAGGTCGAGCGTCCCCCTGCAGGGGGAGCTTGGACGAACAAATCAAAATTTATTAAGAATCTGTAAAACATACACAAACAATCCAACAAATCCTCCCCATACTATTCTTTGCCTATTTCGGAATATCCCTCCTGTAGAGGGACATGCCCGACTTCACCCTATCCCCTGTGTCGGGGGCGGCCAAGAGGGGTGCGTCCAAGAGGGGGGGGGCGCAAATCATGGCCGGCGGCATGTGCGCGGCTCAGGGGGGGGGGGGCCGGGGACGCATTGCAATAAGAAGAGGCGCCATCAAAACTGAGGAAATATCATTGCCCACGCCATGATCCTACCCCCCCCACGACGGAATTTTTCGAGCTCATCGATGCCGAAGAGCTCTACGAGGTACTAGCTCCACCCCGCGCCGGAATTCCTCTAGCTCATCGATGCCGACGAGCTCTACGAGGTAAACCGACCCCAGGTCACCACATTGTCCGCCCGGGCCGGGTGGGCCAACTAGCTGTACCCCGCGCCGGAATTCCTCTAGCTCATCGATGCCGAAGAGCTCTACGAGGTAAACCGATGTCCGCCCGGGCCGGGTGGGCCAACTAGCTGCACCCCGCGCCGGAATTCCTCTAGCTCATCGATGCCGAAGAGCTCTACGAGGAAAAACCGATGTCCGCCCGGGCCTGGTGGGCCAACTAGCTGCACCCCGCGCCGGAATTCCTCTAGCTCATCGATGCCGAAGAGTTCTACGAGGAAAACCGATGTCCGCCCGGGCCGCGTGGGCCAACTAGCTCCACCCCGCGCCGGAATTCCTCTAGCTCATCGATGCCGAAGAGCTCTACGAGTCTACGAGGTATTTTTGTGCTCAGCGCTCCCAGTCATCACCTTTCTCTTTGCCGCCCCCGACGGTGCCCGCTGGTGCTCGGGCCATGGCTGGGCTCTCCGGCGGCCGCCCGCGACGCCTCTCCGGCGGGCCCCGGGGGGATGCGCTCCCCTCGGCGAGGCGCCGCCGCTGGAGAGCGCACCCCCCAGGCCGGAGCACCGCGCGGAGGGCCGGCGGCGCCTCCTGAACTTAGCTGCCCCGACGCGCAGCACGCAGCACGCAGCGTGCTGATATATTGGAGCTCGACGCGTAGACTGAAGACGTGGGTATGCGGCGATGCGTTCGCCCCCAAAAACGTGTGCCAAGACGCTCGGCCAACACGCAACGCATTGGCACGGACGTTTTAAGCACGGTACGTGTTGCGTTTCAAAACGGGCGTATCGAGGCAGCTGGGCTCCTGCAAACCGCGAACTTCGAATCTCGAAGTGTCGAACCTCGAACTTCGAATCTCGCAAAAACGTAGGACAACCGTGCACTTCGAAGCCCGTCCTCCCGACCGCCCCCCCACTGAGCTTAAGTCGGTCCTGTCGTCCTACAGGGGGATTTTGGACGAAGAATGAAAAATACCCCCCAAAAAACCCCAAATGGTCAAAAATACTGAAACAAAAACGTCCCCAGACTATTTTTGGACTATTTTTGAATATGCCTCCTGTAGAGGGACAGGCCCGACTTAACACTGAGCCTACACTGCCCCCCGTGACGCGGCCCCCGAGCGGCGCGCACGCCGAGTCCTCCCAAGCGCGCACGCCGGCCAGCGCACTGGTCACCGAGCCCAGCCGACCGCCACCGCATCTCCACGCCGGAGGTGGCTCTCGGGGCGGGCGCGGGCGGGCCCGTGTCGTGTCTGACACCGCGTGGATCGTTCCGCCTGGAGAGATCAGCGGCTTTTCGATCGCGCAGATCGTTCCGTTCCGCATGGGCCGATTCGGGGCCACCCGAATCGGCGTTCCACCCGGAACGCCCGCGGCAGGGCCGCCGCCGCGCGGACACGACACGGAGCTACTCGAGGCAGGGGAGGGGAGGGGGCGGGGTCCCAAATCCCCACCGGCTGGCACGATGGTTTCAATCCCAGCCGTTTTCCTCGATTTCGGCCTCTGGGGACCGCCTGTCGGGCCCCAAGGCTATCGAACACTGATTTGGGGCGAGGGGCTACTCCTGGGAAAAGCTGGGGCCCCGCATTGAAAACACCCCATCGCTCGAGTAGGAGGTCGACTACAGAGCTGATTTACCCCAGAATTCTTTCTTCGCAGAATCTAAGGAAGACGCGTATCGTTTTCGTAGATCCACGAAGATTCTACATATTTTGGTTGAGTCGACGGACGGTCGGACGTCTGGGGTTGAGGATGCAAGTGGTTTGGGGCAAGTCAGTGCTGCGGTCGCTCTCCTCTTCGAATCGTCGGACGTCGGGGGTTGATTGGATGGCGGGGAGCGGGATGGGGTGGTGGGGAGGAGGGAGAGGCCAGACGAGAGGGCGGGGAGGGAGAGGCCAGGGACGGCCGGGGACGGGAGGACGCATGGCGCGCGGAGGGGGGGAGAGGGGGCGGAGGAGGGAGCGCACAGGAGGGGAGAGGTCGGGAGGGGCACGCAGGGGGAGTGTCGAGAGGAGGCGAGCGGGGGGCGGATGGGGGGGGGGGGGGCACGGGAGGGCCCAGACCTCTGCGCTTATGTCGGGCGTGTCCCCCATACAGGGGGATTTTCGACGAAAAAATAAAAAAATACCCCCAAAATAGTCCCCAGACTATTTGTGGAATAGTTTCTGACTATGTTTCTTTTTGTTCGTCGAGAACCCCCCTGTAGGGGGACAAACCCGACCTAACTCTGCGCGCTGATATTCTCGCTCGGTGCGGGAGCGGTGGCCTCGTCTTCGTCCCGTGGGGCTCCCTGGGCCCTCCGCGGTGGGCCGTGCTCTTTAGTGGGGCCTGGGGCCCGAAGCGGGCCCGCAGACACCCATTTTTTTTTGTTGTTGTTGATGATGATGTTGTTGTTGTTGTTGTTGTTGTTGTTGTTGTTGTTGTTGATGCTGTTGTTGCTGCTGTTGTTGTTGTTGATGTTGTTGTTGCTGTTGAACTCTCACTACTGAAGAATAACTAATGTTGATCCCACCCCTCCGGTGCACATTGTATTTTTCAATTGAAATGCCCCCCCCAATTGAAATGCCCCTCCCGGCGCATGTTTTCAATCAGGGAAAATCTTCAGGCTCAAACTGTGCCCCTGGCTCCCGGTTTAAAACAACAGCGGCTCCCGCTCGATACTTCCTCGAAATTTACTCCGGTCCCCCGAGACGCTTGAGACTTCCTCGCAATTTACTCGAGAATCGCGCTCCCGCTTGAGACGTCCTCGCAATGTACTCAGGCGCCGCGTTCTCGTCATTCAGGAATCGC